TTTGATATTTAAAAATGAAGAATAATAAAAGGCTTTGCAGGCTATCATTAGCTTAATTATATCTTAAAAAGTTTTTGTTTAAACCAAAATATAAAGTTTGGGCAATTTATTAAAAAAGCGAAATTACCTTTCTGAATACTTCCCCATTAATTCGTATTTAAAACGCTAAATTTGATCATAATTGCCCTTCACTTTATGGAGATTAGTGTGATTAATTTTGTAAGAAATTGTCTACCTTTTCCATCTTTCATATATTTCACATTCGTATACGACTTTGATGTGATTTATTCATTTCTGCGTTCAATTTGCTCGAAAGGATTCCGCAGTTCCGTTTCCTAACTCAAATTTTTTCAATTAGTTTTCCAGCCGTCCGTACTTATAACTTTGGGAAGTGTTTATCCACCTTAAGAACGACTTTAAAGTCCATTTGTTACAATGATGATGCTGCAAAACCAAGATAAGTTCCATCGTGTGCACTAAATTAATTGGTCTACCGTAATACCAGAAGATTTCGGCAAATTTCCGCTTTAGCGTTACTCTTCCCTTATTGATTTATGCTGCGGAAGAGTTTTATTATACATGATGCTCCTATCCTCTATCCTTAACGTTATATAAAATAAAATCCCTCTGCTCTTAGTTATAAAACTTTTCCATCTTAGATCCACAAATTCGGTTGAAAAACTACCCGATTCAGTAGTAAATTATTTACCCGCAAGAAGCGCTTTCCTACGATCAGAATAAAACTAATGATTCATTAACTATTGATGGTGGTTTTCTGCAAGTTCGCTTTTTGTACGAGATCGGGGTTAATTCCAACCTGTAAGCCATGTGCTGTCGTTAAATAATTATTCGCATTCAGAATCGAAAGGTGTACCTTTTCCACTACAGTTAATGGTAAATTTGTAATTTAATTTAACGCATGGCTACTGTGAATAGTGACCTTAATATTATGTTAAATTTTTAATGGTAATGCTTATAATTGCCTGAGTAAACTTAAATGGCAATTAGTTGACAAACTGAAGCCCTGACATAACGACAAATAAATAATCCAATTCAATTAAAAAGAACGTTGAAATACACATAAAAATGGAAAACTGAATTTTCTACTTGACATTCTTTACACGCCGTCGTAATAGTTTACTGTTTTTTAACTAGCAACAAATGCAAAAATAAATTTATAATATCTCTTAGTCCGTATTATTTAAGAACGCCAAGAGATCTGGGGATTTTCGCGTGGTGGCTAAATTACCCTAGGGAAAGGACAGAGTTTTTTGGTAATTGCAGCATATTTATGAGATATACAAACTCCAACAGCGTTGACAATTGCTTTGCTATTTACATTTCCACGTGGACAACCCGGAACGAGCCCAACCCAAATATTGCGGCAGCGTCCCTTTTAAACCAATAACAGATCGGCATTTTTTATTTACTCTGCGTTTATGTCTAGGTCAAACGGGAACCGCCGAAGCAGCAAAGTTCGCCGTTACCTTGATAACAACCCACGCGTGCTAGATGCGCACGTTTATCGTGAATAACCTGACTCGCGCCTACTGTTCCTACGAAGCGGTATATATGAAATTTAGGCCACATATAAAATTCGAAATTTTCAGACAAACATAAAAAATTATGCACGTGACAAAATGTCAAAAATGTTTCATTGTCAGCTCAAATTTTTGCAAAACTGAGCACTTTATTAACCGGCTAAACTTGCGACAAACTTTGCCGGTCCAGACACAAACGGTTGCTTGAAATTAAACAATGCAAATGAAATTTTAATCAGCGGAAAAATTATATAAAATATTGCTTGTTCACCATCTTATAAGGTTTTATTTTACAACTCAATTACAGTAGCCGACGGAGCAGTGCGGTAGCCTTGGCGGAACGGGATGTAATCTCGAGCGCCACCAGGAGTTTGTCGATCCTTGTTCCTGGTCAAGGCACACGGGACGCTAGCGATTTCCCAAATCGGAACGAAACCACAAAGAGAAAATATTAATATGAAAACTGTTTTCCGCAGAAAACAAGGGAGCTATAATCGTTAAATCTCAAGCAAAGGTAGTCATTACAATTCGATTGTATCGAAAACCAATATAATCAAACGTTATATCAAGGAGTCGTAGAAAAGAAAAAAATGTTTACCTTTGGCAACCTTGTGCGCTCAAAAAGGCGCTGCCTACCTAATCTGTAACAAACAACACAAGCAAACGAATAAGAAGGGTAGTGAATAGCGCGGCACATCAAATATTGCGAAAGCAATTCTAACGTGACGTTAACTTTAAGAAAACTAGTTTACTGTACACAAATAACACAATTTTTATACACCAGCAATGCAATCTAATTAATTGACACTGTAAATAAGGTAATATGAACAAATTCTTCTGATTAAAGTAAATAACGTAACTAAAAATTGTAGATATCGGTCTCAGACGACCAAGTCTCGCTAACTGCATAACTAATTTACAAAGCAACGGTAGCTAATATGGGTTAACAAACTAATATGAGGATATAAAACGTAGTTAAGCTAGTACAAATGAATCTTCTCAGTCACAAAAGTAATCGTAGGTAGCGTACATCACTAGCAAATTACAAGAATGATAATCTCCAAGGTTTCATTATACTTGCGGTTACAATTCGGGAACAAATATTGAAGTGTAGGTAAACAAATTCTATGCAAGTAGGCCAACAGATAATGTTTGTAGAATTATATGTTTTGTTTCACTGAAATGGCAGCGGAATCTGCCAAGTCGGTAATGTAGAAATTCATCTAGAGCGTCCCGTTAGCCAATATCAATCTTGCTAAAATCCAGGTAAAAATACCATGTCATTAAAAAAAAAAGTTCTAAAAAAATTAAGAAAAGACTTATAGATAATAGGGGATATGCTGGAAGGCATGGGTAACTTTAAAACTAACAAAAAAGAACCATGTCATTCACGTACTACGTAAGTAATAAGTAAAGGTAAAAGTTAATCCAAAAGTGAAATGTAAGAGAACTTAAAAGAAATCTCAGAAATTTTGAGAGAGGATAAAGCCCTAAAAAAATAATTACATACTAAGAAAAATGCTCCGTCAAAAATGTACATCTCGTACTGCAACCAACCAACACGAAGGCAAAATCGTCACTTCGCGAAAAATATAACTCGTGGGCAAGATAACATTTAAGAAGGGATAGAATTAGAAATACCACGGAAAACATCTGCACGACTTCCGCCGGCGAAACAAAGAACTAAAGTAACAAAAAAAAATAACTTGCATCTTTAAACTAGTGGATTACAAAGAAAATACCTAGATGGTGTAAGAATATCAAATACCTATACATCAGAGCACAACTCGAAGGTTACGTAAATGTAATTTAAATGGGGGAAAAAAAACGTAACAACATACAGACTTATCTTATCAAACCGCTGTAATTCAAGTTAAGAAAGCGCGTATTTGATCCCACACTCAATCTTCGCGGACGCCGTGAATGCCAAAATTTGTATACATTTCTTCTAGTTTTGGTAGGATTCCGTTTATTTTTGTTGGTAGTATGTATAGAAGGTTAATCCTATATTATTAAATTCCATCCTTTTGAAAGTAAATATCTATTCCTATCGGGAACGGGCATCGTAATTTGTTTACGGCTTACAAAATTGTGTTATCTATTCCAAAATGGGGACCCGTATATCAACTGCTAAATTGTGTAAAATTTAATTTAAATGTAATTTCGCAAGTTGCATTATGAACGTTGGCGTAGTTTACCACGCAACAACAAGAACAGACAAAAAATGTGTTATCAAAGGGCTAATTTATTTTTTATCGTAAAGGCACGTTCTTTATTTCGAAACGCTGATCAGTAATTCGCTTTCTCCTTTCTTTCGCCTTTACCTTTTCACCAACAAAATCCAAATATTAAAATTTCGGGAAGCTTTTCTCGGTGGAAGAAAAGTAATAGTCTGTGAGAGTACCGTCAAACGTTTTGGTAATTTAATTACGGGGGTTACCGGAGTTGTGTTATGCTATATAACGAAATTATAAAATTGAATATATACATATAGTTTAATTGCTGGGCGAAAAAGTTTAGTATGAGTTTAACCAATTATATACTGTTGCGTTCGTAAATTAAAAAGTTTTAAAAGCCGTCAACACGACTAACAAAGCGGCTGTGCAGAGAAAACAAAAAAAAACTTCAGAAAAGCTTATCGGAATATCGAAACAAATCGGAGGTAAGCTTTTCGGTAAATATGGAAAGAAAGAGTTTATGGCATTATAAAACTGAAATACTTAAAACTTGAGGCAACGTTTTAAAATCAACAATTTGGCGTTATAGCGGTGAAAAGTGGAACCTACAAACTTTTCTTGTTAAAAAAAAATTTTATTCAGTCGTGTGACGTTTCCCTTCAAATGAAAGTGGTTGGAACTTTTCAAAACAACATTTCGGAGAAGTCTAGATATTTTTCCAATTAGCAAATATTTTTCGTGCAAATAAACCGAAAGCTACCGGTTTGGTAAGATAGAGTTCAAGCATTACATTGTTTGATAAGCAAATAGGAGGATACTTATTAAACTGGAACAGTTCAAACTTCGCCGTTTATTGTTTGATCGTCAAAGTTCTTATATATAAAATTTTCATAAAAGCTAGGTGCTCATACAACGTTATATAAACTTCAAAGTAGCTCTCTGTTTACGTAACCCCCAGCTTCGCTTTCATTTCTTAATTATCCTTCCCTTGCGAAACGTATGTATGAGGCGAAATCACGCAAATCAGGGAGGCACCTTGATTTAGTGTTACTAAAGTGATATGAATGCTAATGTTTATATAAAGCACTTTATAGACAATTCCAGAGAAGAATAAAGATATAAATCCTCTTTTATACGTTCAAAAAGCACAGCAGCTACGTTCTACAGCCGCGTTTATCTTAATAGTGTGCTAACAAACATGTATTAAGTTTGACATTTGTGTTATATAACGCCTCTGTAGAGGTTAATGAGAAAGGTTACTAACATTTTGTGGGAAATACAGGTTACCGCAACGGATGGCGACAAAGACCGACCCCAAAATATTGTCTACTTTCTCACCGGCCAGGGTATCGATCCGGATAATCCAGCCAATAGCAAATTTGACATTAATAGGACGACCGGAGAAATTTTTGTTTTAAAGGTAAGTACGTGATCCAATTATTAATTTTGTAACAAATATGAAGATTCAAGTCAGGAATATTTTTCACTTTTCAGTTTCATACTTGGATATCAGAGAATGCTATTTATTTTGTGAATCACCCCAACTGAGTGTATTTGGCTTTGAAGTTTCTAATTAAAATGTCTCCATTTTACAGATAAATCCTTTTGGTATCCCATCTTGGCTAACAAAAAGCTTATGTGTTGTTCAAAAAGTTTACACTCAGCCTTTCCCGGCTACTTATTAGAACTCTCACTGCGAAATAGAGGAATGGAATTCGTAATTGCGGAAACTTTGTTCAAAAGTCCTTTGTTCACAATGAATCTCAATGTTGTTTCGAAATACTGTATTAGTAGAGCGTATTCTATGTTCTTTTTCATTAAGGGAAGTGTCGAATTAAAACTTTACACTTCCTTTATGTATTAAGCATCCTTGCGAATTACATAGTGATCGTTGCTTATTATCACGGACGAAAGAGATCTGTGAAGTGGGAGTACCACGCCGATATCAATTTCTGATTTTACCATTACCTATAATACAATTCGGTGCTATTACCGCTTTCGGGTTATTCAAATGTTTGCAATAGGACTCCAACTTGACGTTGTCATATTGAAAATCTTTTTGCACCTTTATTTTGTACTCATTTTGATGTTATAACTTTTAAGCGGAAACTTTTCCGGATCCTAGTTGTATGCTAATTTTGTGCTACCATATACAAAGGTTGTGCTACTATGCTCTTGAGCTCTATAACTTTTTAGAGTGAGTTTCCAACTTGGACCCTGCAAGCGATTATGTCAAAAGTTAAATCTCTACGTATATACTTAAATTTCGGTTCATGTTGCACTACTGCTATAATCATTTACATCTTATCCTACTATAATTTTTAAGTTATTCTATACTGTGGTGCTTTAATATAAGACACTTGTGGTAGGAGTTAGGATTTGCGTATTTTATAAAAGGTTTATTGAAATGTATGCGATAAGAACTGTCGATATCGGGAGAAAGTTAATTAAGGTGTTTCGAAGCTTTACATATTTCGGCGTAAGTGGGGACGTTTGGTACCTACGTTCCTTCGAAGCCTGCGTCATTAAGTGTAATTGGGATTGGTGCCTTTATTTGAAAGTCCTGGAGAGAATGAGATTTTTTATAATGAACTGGTGTTTCGTTAAATACTGGAATTAACGAAAAAAAGAGGCTGGTTCGCGACGGTTGGAAAACGTTTTTTTAGGTTTTTTTAAATCGGGCAGCCCGCCTTTTTGTAGGTGTAAAGGGGTACATTATTAAATACGAAAGAGTTTACAGGGTTTATTCTTAAGTATGTTCAAAATATTAGGTGATAGGAACAAAACAAGAGGCTTCAAAAAAGATAAGAGGATGTTTTAGCCTAGCATAATTTTTTCCAAAATTCCTACCCCAAGATGGTTCTTGCGTAAAATGGCCTTCACAAAATTTGACATCTTTTCAAAAAGAGTTCTATGCATTTTATCGACGAAGTCGTCTAAATGTATTCGAAAATGCGTTCGCTTTGCGCAAATATAATGTATGTAGGTACACGGCGCGGTGGTTGGTTTCAGTATATTTAATGCGTTTCTACCAGTCACTTGAATATTACAGTGAATTTTATGTCGAAAAAAATTGAAATCTGACCATATCTCGGGGTTATTGTCATGTTAAAAAGTATCGAGATACCAAGATTCGTCAAGATTAGAATTTGAGCCATGTTAAGGTAGGAATTTATGAAAAAATCAAAGAAGGTGTACCCATAAACCTAGTAAATCCACTAATCCCATTATTTTATGTGTTGTAGTGGCAGAGGAAAAATTAAACTCGCAAATTTTGTTTTTTTTCTGGTAGTACTCAAAGGAAACAATCTGGAACTGGTTCCCCATCATTCTTAATTTTTTGGAAAAATCAGGAAAAAGGAGTAGGTACTTTTATAGAAAAGTCAGTGATTTGGAGTTATGAAATCGAAGAAACGCATTTACTGATACCAGTGGCATAGCAAGCGGAAGGTATAGGGCACTGGGGAGAGGGCAAGGTGGTCAAAGACCGTTGAATATGAAGGTTTTGTCAGTTTACTTTATCAAAAGTTTGGTTAACAAAACTTGTCCAGTGTCTCAATTTAAATTTCTCTATAAGTAAAACTTGGAATACATTTATTTATTGATTTTTTAATGAAACTTTTTTGAAATCAATTGATTTTTGAATGAAAACTTGTTTAAAACGCCATTTTAATGTGTCATTCTTTTAATTTTTTGGTGCAGAGCCCCTAATTAATATCTTTCTGTGGGCGATAATAATCGATACACTTAAGTACGGTTTCAGCCTTTTCGATATATTATTACAAGCCTCCACCCCCCTAAACCAAACCTTTGCTGCCACACTGATGTTGATTTTTGATTGCGTTGCAGATAATTAGATGAGATAATACTTTTTTGCGTTTGTTATTATCATGACAACGTTTGTATAAAAGAAAATTTCCTAAAAATTTGAACGAAAAACGTAAAAAAACAATTTTTCTCTTTTCCTTCACTTTAAATCACCAATATAACTAATACATGGCGTCAAAGCGAGATCTTCCACGGCTCTAGAAGAACCTATGCCGTCGATTTCAGGCGAGAGGCGAAAAAATGGACGGACAAGCGTATCAATTACGTATGCTCGCGAAGATTTCTGATGTAACACTTTCCGAAATTCCCACGGGAACGGGAACAGAAAAAAACAGGATGTTTCACAGTCGAAAACAGACTTGCCATTTGGTTGCCTACAATCATCTGTTCCTTGCCGTAATACAAATATCATGAGCCGGATCATTTGGAATTATTTTTTGAATCGACTCCATAATTAGGCGTCAATTATGCGTTAATTTGCGTTGCTTAAATTAAATTATGCGCTCTTGTAAAAAAGTAAGTGATTTCAAACATTAAGATGGCCCGGCCATTGTCACAGAGCCGCGGACTTTCTCATAATCGATTTTGTATAATACAGAAATTAAGCGTAAATTATGCGCCCTTTTGTGCCGTTGAAAATTTTACGTTCCTCAGCTCATTTTATTTTTCCATAAATGAAATTATGCGAGGGATAGTGGTGTGTTCGCAGTAATAACTCATTTTCGATTAGGGCGCAAACTTTCATTTCAACTGCACAAAGAGGCGCATTATTATTGCTTAATTTATTATTTATTAATTTATTAAAGAATCCGCGACTACGTGAAATTTCCCGAGATAATGGTTTTTGAAATAACTTATTTTATTTAAGGGCAAGGCGCATAATTGGGGCTTAATTTCCGCATAAGAAAAATCATTTATGAGAAAGTTAGCCACTCTGTGAAGTTGGCCAGGTCAACTTCATTTTTCAAATAACACACTTTCTATACGGGCGCAAAATTCTGTTTACACGGCACATAATAGGCGCCTAATTATGCATTCGATTAAATTAATTTAATTGCAAATGACCCGTACATGTGATGTATACAGGGTATCCACGGACAAAAGTTGCATATGCCTGTCTTAACTAATACATTTTGGTTTTATACTACTGCCGTTTCGACCAAAGGTTTTTGCACCCGTTGTAACATTTCTGTTAGTATTAGTTAAATTTGGTTTTACAGAGTAGTCAGAACACACACAAAATTTAAAACATAACTTTGACATGAATTCTTGAACACCCTGTATACATTTTTTGAACACTTGCTAAATAATAGCATTGAATAATATTCAGACTTATTATTCAATGATAATAGTAAGAGGTAGGTTTTTTTAGCCGCGAAGCTACTGCGTAATCTCCAAATCAAAAATCGAAACTCCCGCCAAAACTAACTAAAGCCCCACGGAACATGATTGTGATAGTTTGGCTACAAGGGTCCTGGGTTCGAATCCCAGGTAAGGCATGGTTGTTTGTGATTGTATTGTGGGTTGAGTGGAAAGAGTAACAAATTGCTAACACTCCGCCCACTATAAAATAAAGGCAATAAAATAAAAAAAATAAATAAAAATAAAATAGGGCCTACGTTGTATTCTGAAAGGAGTTTTCTCGAGGATGTGTGTGTGTAGCGCTAGGAGGATCGATTAAAACAACATAAGAAATGGAGAAGAGTGAAATTTAATTAAAACGTTAAGACATGCAAATCAAAATTCAAATAAAAATTGCCCTCTTACAACCAAGAGTAGCTCTAGGGTCTTCAATGAACTATTGAAAACTTTCCAGGAAATATGCTTACTTCTCCAAACATGCATTTTACAATTATATTGCAATACCTTTCAACCTGTACGACAACATCGGAGAATTTAATTTCCTTCGCAATGATTGTGTTAATTCTGAGGCACTCACTGCAAGCTAGCTACGTTCTGCCGCCTTCATAATAAAATTTCCGCATTCTTATCTTTCTCGGTCGATGAAAAAACCATAATGCGGCGCATCTACTTGCGAGCCTTCGTCCTTTTGCAATTTGAATTATTAGGATTCGCGCCAAGACATATACAGTGGCTTAACTTGCCTCTTTTGTCTTTAATGGAATGGATAAAATTTATAACGGGGACTGTTCAATTCAAAACTGTCAGATATGTAACTTGGCAAATTGTAAGTAAAATCGTAAGTCGTACGACATTGATCATATTTTAAAGGAAACGTCCCGACCTACTTCTAATAAATTAATCTATTTGCCTTAAAGTCTTAGTTCGTCGTTGGGCACCCTGTACCCTATGGTGCGTCACACGATCCACCCCCTCATATAATTGGTATAGGTACCCAAAAAATTCACTAATTTTGGTTTACTTGCGTGGTGTTAATTCATATCACGGTACCTCCATACTAAATTTAAACAGAACCTGGTATACTGCGGAAAAATTTCCCATAACTTTTGATTTCATAAAATGAGGATTTAAATTGAACCTCTCGAGAACCATAAGAGCACAAAACTCTCGACAAAACTTGTATCATATGGGAAATAATAGCTCAAAATAAGCTTAATGTTTGGGCACAAAATCGATAATAGCACAAAAGGTGTATGATGATGAATAATAGTCAATTTTACAACAAACAATAAGAGCATACAACTTGCGATACTGCAAAAGTAGCACAAAATGGGAACACAAGTTCATAAAAAAAGATTTCCCATTTTATAACATCCAGTAAGTATAGATGTAGTAGAGGTCTCTTTTTAAAAGTTGGAATCAGAAAATAATAAGACACAACATTGGATACGAAATTCATAGTAAGGTTTACGATAATTTAACTGAACTAACCGGGTTGGTAAGTGGAAACAATAACACTAGCAATTGTAGTAAAAGCTTCCGACCAGGTTAAACCGGTAAAATCAGAAATTGGTCCGGCATCATCTAACCAAAGATCCGCATACGACTAAACAGGAACATAATTTTTTTACAGACTTTGGACAGGGACCAACCCAATGGAAGGCCGCAGTGGAGGTTCACAGTGTTTGCTCAAGACGAAGGTGGGGAGGGTTTGGTCGGTTACGCGGACGTGCAAGTGAACTTAAAGGACATAAACGATAACGCCCCGATCTTTCCGCAGGGCGTTTACTTTGGTAACGTTACCGAAAACGGAACGGCCGGTATGGTCGTGATGACAATGACGGCGGTCGACTACGACGATCCGTCCGAGAGTACCAACGCGCGTTTAGTGTATTCTATAGAGAAGAATGTTATAGAGGAGGAGACGGGTTCGCCTATTTTTGAAATCGAGTCCGAAACGGGGGTGATAAAAACGGCTGTGTGTTGTTTGGATAGGGAAAGGACGCCTGATTACTCGATACAAGTGGTCGCAATGGACGGGGGAGGGTTAAAGGGTACGGGGACGGCGTCGATACGCGTTAAGGATATTAACGACATGCCGCCTCAGTTTACTAAAGACGAGTGGTTTACGGAGGTCGATGAAACTGATGGGACTAGTCTTCCAGAAATGCCTATACTTACTGTAACAGTCCACGATGAAGACGAAACGAACAAATTCCAGTACAAAGTGATTGAAAATAGCGGATATGGTGCGGATAAATTTACAATGGTGCGTAACAACGACGGTACGGGCTCTTTGAAGATAGTGCAACCGTTAGACTATGAAGATCTCTTGCAAAGTAACGGGTTTAGGTTTCGTATTCAAGTCAATGATAAGGGAGAGGACAACGACAATGACAAATACCATGTTGCCTACTCTTGGGTTGTAGTGAAATTAAGGGACATTAACGACAACAAACCACAGTTTGAAAGACCAAACATCGAGGTGTCCGTGTACGAAAACGCCGAAGTGGGCAAGAGCTTGGAGACCTTCAAAGCAACCGATCCCGACCAAGGTGGTAAAAGCAAAGTGTCCTACGCGATCGACAGAACTTCCGACCGTAAACGTCAATTTTCAATCAACCAAGAGGGAACGGTCAGCATACAACGATCACTCGATAGGGAAGAAACGCCTAGACATCAAGTCAAAATCTTAGCAATAGATGACGGGGTTCCGCCAAAAACGGCAACGGCAACTTTAACCGTGATTGTTCAGGACATTAACGACAACGCACCCACCTTCCTTAAGGATTATCGACCGGTGCTTCCCGAACACGTGCCCCCAAGAAAAGTTGTTGAGATACTGGCAACGGATGACGACGACAGATCCAAGAGCAACGGGCCACCTTTCCAGTTTAGATTGGATCCAGGCGCCGATGATATAATAAGGGCGTCATTTAAAGTAGAGCAGGATCAAAGTGAGTATTAGTTTCAGCGCACTTGCCCTTCCGTTTACATTAGCAATAAAATGATAATTCATTTACAGAGGGTGCAAACGGAGACGGTATGGCAATTGTTTCATCCCTTAGGTCGTTTGATAGGGAACATCAAAAGGAATACCTAATCCCTATCGTTATTAAAGATCACGGCAATCCCGCGATGACCGGAACAAGCACATTAACAGTTGTAATCGGTGACGTAAACGATCACAAAATGCAACCGGGATCGAAGGAAATATTTGTATATAACTACCAAGGTCAGGGTCCCGATACCGAAATCGGTAGGGTGTACGTTTACGATTTAGACGATTGGGATCTTCCCGACAAGAAATTTTATTGGGAGGGTGTCGAACATCCGCGGTTCAAATTGAACGAAGACACCGGCATGATTATTATGAAGCATGGTACGAAGGACGGAAAGTATCATTTGAGATTTAAGGTCTACGATAGGAAGCACACGCAAACCGACGTACCCGCAAATGTGACAATCACAGTTAAAGAAATACCCCATGAGGCGGTCGTGAATTCGGGCTCCGTCAGAATTGCGGGTATCACCGATGAGGATTTCATTAGAATTTGGAATTACAAAACGCAAAGCTTATCAAAGAGCAAAGCTGAGAAATTCAAGGATAAAATCGCCGATTTACTGAATACGGATCGGGACAACGTTGACGTGTTCAGTATTCAGTTGAGAAGGAAGCATCCACCAGTGACTGATGTTAGGTTCTCTGCCCATGAAAAGTTGTACTATAAACCCGTCAGATTGAACGGATTAGTCTTAATGCATAGGGAAGAGATAGAAAAGGACGTTGGAGTAAATATAACAATGGTCGGAATAGACGAGTGTCTGTACGAAAATCAAATGTGTGAAGGATCTTGTACAAATACTTTAGATATTAGTGCCTTGCCTTATATGGTGAACGCGAATAAAACCGCGTTGGTGGGAGTTCGCGTTGATGTTTTAGCTGAATGTACTTGTGGGGCTAGAAACTTTAGTAAAGAGGAAAATTGTAGAAATAATCCGTGTTACAATGGTGGTCGGTGCATAGAAACGCGTTATTCTTTGAGTTGCTCGTGTCCAGTGGCGTACAACGGCCCAAGGTGTCAGCAAACCTCGCGTAGTTTTCGAGGAAACGGCTGGGCGTGGTACCCCGCCCTTGAAATGTGCGATAGATCACATCTCAGTTTCGAATTTATTACCCGAAAATCCGACGGCCTTCTCCTTTACAACGGTCCCATAGTTCCCCCAGAAATGGAAGAAACGATGGTCTCCGACTACATTGCCGTGGAACTCGAACGTGGGTTTCCTAGATTGTTGATGGATTTCGGTTCGGGAACTCTAGAATTGCGAGTCAAAACGAAGAAGAGTCTTGACGATGGGGAATGGCACAGGCTAGATATCTTTTGGGACACGGAAAATGTGCGAATGGTGGTTGACTACTGTAAATCGGCGGAAATCGCCGAGTTAGAAGATGGTACCCCGCCAGAATTCGACGACAGCAGCTGCCAAGCTCAAGGTACCATCCCACCGTTCAACGAATATCTTAACGTGAACTCTCCCTTGCAACTTGGTGGTCTGTACGTCGAACAATTCGACCCCACCCACTACCACTGGCAGTACATGCCAGTGGGGAAAGGTTTCGACGGATGCATTCGGAATTTATTCCACAATTCCAAACTGTACGACCTAGCTCATCCCGGTCTGTCAAGAAATAGCGTGGCGGGTTGTCCCCAAACTGAAGAAGTTTGTGGGCGTTCCGAAGCAACCGCGCGCTGCTGGGAGCACGGCACTTGCATGGGCAGTTTTCAGGAGGCCAAATGCCATTGTCGTCCGGGATGGACTGGACCTTCTTGTACCATAGCTACGATACCTACGACCTTCAAACCGCAATCTTATGTGAAGTACGCGCTGAGCTTCGAACCTGATCGGTTTTCCACGCAAATACAGCTGAGGTTTCGTACCCGCGAAGAATACGGGGAGTTATTCCGAGTTGCGGATCAACACAACCGGGAGTACGGCATTTTAGAAATCAAAGATTCCCGATTACACTTCAGATACAATCTGAACTCGCTACGAACCGAAGAGAAAGATTTGTGGTTGAACGCCGTTGCGGTAGACGACGGACAGTGGCATGTCGCTAGAGTGAGCAGGTACGGATCCGCAGCTATTCTAGAGCTGGATAGCGGAGAAGGCAGACGATACAACGAAACCTTTAACTTTGTCGGCCACCAGTGGCTGCTTGTTGACAAGCAGGAAGGCGTTTATTCCGGCGGGAAAGCTGAATACACCGGCGTTCGTACCTTTGAAGTATACGCCGATTATTCTAAAGGTACGGGATTTCTACAGTGATGGTGTTAGTGTATTGCAAATTTGTTGTTAGGTTGTTTGGATGACATACGATTAGAAGGCAAACATCTTCCACTGCCGCCTGCTATGAATGGGACACAATGGGGCCAAGCTACCATGGCCAGAAATTTGGAAAGGAATTGTCCATCGAATAAACCTTGCGCGAACGTCATTTGTCCGGAACCTTTCGAGTGCGTCGACCTTTGGAACGATTACGAATGCACGTAAGTTGCCCTAACAGTTGTTATAATAATTTTTGTTGGTATCAGCAACCTACATTCATTTTGTGCAATTGTGAAAAGGGCGTTTATCTTTAGAAAAGCACTTTTGTTTTATGCATGCGCCCAATGAATTTACAAAAAGCGATACTTTTCACATGAGGCGAAGCCGACTGGTGTAAAAGGTCGTTTTCGCGAGTGTAATTTAAACAGTTTTTCTTATGACCTCCATCAATGGGCAAAATTAATGTTCAAGAGCAATACAAAGGAACTGAATAATATAAAATACTACCCTTTCATCTCACACTGACGCTAATAGCAAAAGATATCACCTTTGAAGGGAGGCATAAGAAAAAATATTACACATCTTTTAGTCCTAAACGCTGACATGATAGTGTTGAACACAGTTTCGGATTCTAATGGATACCATCACTATTTGTCTGTCGTTTCTTTTGTATGGTATGGTAACCATCTTAAGTATTCAGTAAAATTTTGCATTTCATTCAGGGCCCAGTAAATAAGTAATAAGAGTATACAGGGTAACAGTAATTGAGTAACAGGTCAATATGAAAATACTATACCCGCAACATTTAATGGTTCACAAACTGTTTAGAGACGTTTGGGTATCTATCGATTGTTTAGGACTGTTGTTAAATTTATGCGGATGTAGAAAGTATGGAGGTTTACTTACATTCTTTTGATTCATTTTGGGCGCGGATTTTCGCTGCACCTGAATTTATACTATCTTGGTTCTCGGACTCCTCGGTCACAGTTTTTTTTTGTAATTCTGTGGCTACTGTGATGACGAAAATCAATGGCCGAACTTGGATTTCAGCCTGACTACACCATAGTTAACCTAATTTCACACCTAATCTTACGCGCTTGGACTCGTGTTCTACCGCAACATCATGCTTGGTAGGCCAGTCATTGGGGATTTTACCTGGAAATAAGTCCGGAAGTTTTGAAACTTTGTAGGTTTATGTTTTGGGATCTACAATTAAAATTCACAAAATGCACAATCCGAGACATACCGCCATCTTGCCAAGATGGCGCCCAAAAACTGTTTCTTGCAAATATCTCCAAAACTATGCGTTTTTCGAAAAAGTATGTAGAGCGCAAAATTGAAGAGGAGGAAGTTTCCTATAATATATGTTCCTAGTAAATATTTATCACGAAATAATGGCATATCTTTTATTCAATTAATCGATTAATTCATTAATTAATCCATGTTAATAATTTATAATCAATTAATTTCGATTTAAAATGCTATACTTGTTTCCACACCACCCAAGAGATAAAGTACACGACGCGTTTTTTTTTAACGTAATTTCCCCGGTAGGCCTAATCCACTTATGTACTAAATTATCTTTGGCAAAGGCCAGACGCACCTTGCTCGTTGATTTCCATATCTTAAATTAAATAAGTTATTTTTCCGTTTTCTCTCTTCAAACTTAATCGTCTAAAAGTATTCAAACCCCCTTCTTTCACCTTCACAGTTTTACCCTGCGAAAGACTTTCGTCACAAACAAAACACTTTTCAATCGAAGCTATAATAAAAGAAATAATACAATCAATTTATTAACACTTGCACTATTGTCAAGTAAAATCAACACGTAAACGCTAAATACGTTGCGAAACGTAACACTTTTTCGAATCTATTACCAAACACGCTTATTACCGAATCAGTACAACTATTAAGCGACACGACAAACGATCTGCTTCGAGGCGCCTTGTAGCGAGATGACGGGTAAATAGCCAGCGCCCTCTGGTGGCGCTTTATTGCAGGGGCGCACATCGGCATCTGCACTTATGCCAGGAATGTGCCGTTGAGTCAGTAAATGATAAATATACCTAACGAGAAACCAATTCAATAAGCCCGTTTTACTATAAAAGATAAATTTATACGCATAGGTATATGGAGATAGGGGCAGTTTATAGAAATTAACAGAATATGTTGTCATTCAATCAGCTGTTGAGCCTAAACGGCTTACTTTAGCAAAAATATGCTAAGAACTTTTCTTGTAGGAAATTTCTGCCTCTTCAATACTTTTCCGCAGTTTTGAAGATATTTGCAAAAAACCATTTTTGGGCGCCATCTTGGCAAGATGGCGGCGCCGGCGGCATGTCTCGGATTGTGCATTTTGTGAATTTTAGTTCTGGACATCCAAACCTGCAAAATTTCAATACTTCCGGACTTATTTCCGATGACTGGCCTATGGAGTTCAAAGCGACACTAACGTGCAATCTGTATCGAAAAACATTTAGGAAATTACCGTCAAATAAACGTGAGGACCAATCAAACAGCACCCTAATCGGAACCAACGACTCCTGCGAATAGTCAAACTAGTCGCCTATTAATTTTTTTAGACGCGTCTGAGGCACATTTTGGTCTCTTGAGAAACGCAAGCCCCCCATCATGGCTTACATGACTTCATATAAGGCTCGTATTCCTATAGCGAACGAATTCGGCCGAATGGATTCGTTCGGCCAATATGATCGTACAACCAATCACAAGCAAACGAATATGTTTGCATTAAAGAATTTGTTAGGTCTATTTTCCAGTGTGTACGGCTTCCCACAGTATTCGCAATTGCTACTTCCTGCGTATACATCCGCCCAAATAAACGAGTGCTTGAGAAAGTACTTGTTCGGAGGTATGTGGGCAGATATTTTAACGTTGAACGAATTTTGGAAAACTAGGACGAACCCATTCGGTCGAATTCGTTTGCTATATGAATACAGGCCTTTAATGGAATTTCACTCCCTTATTACCTACCTACAATTCATGTATGGTAAAGTCAGATATATTGTACCACCTAACGCTATTTTGATATATAAAATAAAACTGTTGCGCCCTTTAGGTCGGACTTTTTCGGCGGTGTCCTAATGTACGGCTCTGCATTGGACCATGTCCCCGAAAGTACATTCATCACAATATGACAATTCCATACTCTTCTACGTTCGTTTCAATTATGGCAGTCATCTCAAGGTTGACGATTTTGATGGTTGACTGGATAACTTTGTGCCATTTTTCTTGGATGTTGTTTTGATCACCAATTCTTTGTTGTATGGGGTAGTATTGCTGCTTTTTGAGAACCTTGCCGTTTATGAGTTCTCTTACTAGGTTCTGGAAGAGGTATCTCTTCAATTGAAACATGTAAAGGAGGTGCCTTTGGTTTGGTTGTATACAGGGTGCCCACGAGGGTGCCCATTATGTATGGAATACAGTACGAGGATTGTTCAATAGAAACACGTTTGATCTATGCAGCCATGACCTGGTCGTCATGGCAACCGAATTAATTTGTTTAAATTGTTTGCTTACATACTAGTAAAGCGTCTGACAAAACTATTTGTGACAAAACTATTTGCAGTTTGCTCTTTTCTAAGCGTTGGGACTGCGTTTGAAAATGGCATCCATGGTAGAAAATCCATCCAAAGACAACTTGCGTGCGGTTATTTAATTTTTGGCCGCTGAAGGACGTCAGCCAACGAAAATTTATACGAGAATGAAAGCTGTATATGCGATATACAGACACTCTGAAACGCTTACGGGTCAGCATCAAGAATAAGCGTCCCGGGAAGCTCACAAATGGTGTCATTCTTCTGCATGATAATGCCCGACCACATGTAGCCCAGCCGATTCAAGAACTGCTTAGTCGCATGAAGTGGGAAGTCTTACAACATCCGCCTTACAGGTCCCGACCTGTCACCTTGCGATTACCCTGTTTTTGGCCCATTAATAAAGCAATTACTAAAAGGACGGCGGTTCAAATCGGACGCTGAGGTAGAGTTTGCGGTTAGAGAATGGTTCCCTAAGCAGCCTCAAGAATTTTACCAGCACGGAATTTACAGATTAGTACAACAGTGGGATTCATGCCTTAATGTTAATGGAGACTTCTTTTGAAATCGTTGAATAGAAAATGTTGTACAGCCTCTAAACGTGTTTCTATTGAACAATCCTCGTATATATCTCGGTAAATATTGACTGTATACATAATTTTTCTATATGAAAGTTGTTTAGCATTTTATTTCCCATAATAAGGCAGCATTCCATTGTTTTTATTTCTGAAAACAAATGGATATCAAGAAACAATTGAATTTTTTTAAATAGCCATGCACACTTTCATTAGGCTCATTTGATAGAGAGTTTTTATCTCTTTTTAATTACGTACCACGTAGCACGTTGGTTAATGGTGAACATTTTGAACATTCATTGCGATGAAAGTCATATTTTACTGCTAATTTCGTTTTGTCTTCAAGGTTTAATAAGAAACGTACACGTTGAATTGTTTTATTTTGATTGAGGATATCTGGATTAATGTTATTCATCAAATTATAATAAATTTTTTGGAAAAATTGTTTTGAATAAGGATACTAACATGTTATATCATCGAAAAGAGAAAAAAATCACTATCAAACGAGCCTGAGATGTAAAAAAAATTAATTGTTTTTCGTTACTTATTTGTTTTCTGAAATAAAAACAACTGAATACTGCCTTATTATGGGAAATAAAACTTTCATATAGAAAAATTTTGTATACATTCGATATTTACTGATATACGATATTCCATACATGATGGGCACCATCTAAAACGATGCGCGTTTGAATTTTGGTAACCATGATAGTGCTCATTAACGATCATGCGAAATGACTTTTTCCCCGTGGTGCATGTGCCAGAAAAATTAATTATTTCGATTGATGTATTGTTCCATCGTTCTTTAAACGTGTTGTATGATGAGGATTGGGATTAAAGAAAATCTTTTTAAACACGTTTTTTTTTATTTTTTACTGTTGCGGCTATCGATTTCGACCTTATCAGGTCATCTTCAGGCCGAGCGTCATTTGGTGAAGTGAAAGTGCATGTGATATTTTGACGATGTTATATATTAGATGTCAGGAATGAAAAATTTAGTGTACCAAAAGTGAGGTAGAAGACCTGAAGATGACCTGATAAGGTCGAAATCGATAGCCGCAACAGTAAAAAATAAAAAAACGTGTTTAAAAAGATTTTCTTTAATCCCAATCCTCAATTAATTATTTATTGCAGTGAAAAATCGAAAATTTCGTAAAAAGAAATCTAGCGCAAAATGATTGGCATACGTGTAGCGTGGGGCATAAAGGTTGGTGCATGCGCCCTTAAAGGTGTTGAAAATTATTTCATTTTACCATCATAGCACGTTCCCCTATGGACAATTAACCTATATGAAAACCCCAAAAACACAACAATCAAAGATAAACGAATCGATGGATACCTAAAACCTGTAAAACATTAATGGTAGTATCACATTTTACCAAAGTACGAGCGATTTTCTGTGTATACTCGGAACAAGGCAGATAGGTTCTTGCAATCACAATCATTCTGTATTACATATACGAAACACAATAGAACTTTTTCCAGGCTGATTAAATGCTTTAACAAGGTGCACAAATTCAAAATCATCCCCTATGATGGGTGATACGTCATTTGATCGTTTGTAGCAATGTCGGTAACTTACCCACTTTGTTACAAGCCCGCTTAATGTTTTACGTTGCAATTTGTTCGATTCAAAATTATTAATGATTTTATTGTAAACAATTTCATTAATGCGAAGGCACTGAGACGAATTACCATACTTTGTAGTTTAGCGTGTGTACCTACCTTATATAATCATTTTGTATGTGCGATGCTTTTGTAAATCTAGCATGAAGCAAATTATATTTTGTGATATATTCAAAAAATAAGTTTGTGCGAGAAGAGGAGTAAAAAATACTGATGCGTAGCAAATAGTTACTAACAATACTAATTATATTGATATTGCTGGTGGTGGTGGTGTGTATTTTATGATGATGCATGATTAATAATAACAGCTGCGGAGAGGGGCGCATCATGTCACCTGACAGTAAGGATTGTATGGACAAGGACGAGTGTTTAGATTTACCTTGTTTGAATGGTGGCACATGCATCAATCAGGAGCCACGGTTACGATATCGCTGCATTTGTCCTGACGGCTTTTGGGGCGAAAACTGTGAGCTCATCCAAGAAGGACAAACACTCAAACTCAGCATGGGTGCTCTTGCTGCCATCCTCGTCTGCTTGCTCATCATCCTCAGTGAGCATTAGCCTTTTAGCGTAGGAATGTTTACGTAGATGTTTCTTTTTTTTATTACTTTTTTATTTTGTTATGCCGAATGCCTGAATGTTGCATCATTTACTCTTCACTAACATCCTCAGTGCTGGAGCAGTTTAACAATGGCTTCATGGTGTGGTGAGTAATACTTTCCTATGTGTAGTTGTCCACAAGGGTACAAGTTTCTCGAATCCACTTGTGTTAATGAAAATGAATGCATGTGGATGCCCTGCATTAATGGAGGTATTTGCAAAGACCACGATCCGCCTCAACGGTACGAGTGTAAATGTCCTTTAGGCTATACAGGAGGCCACTGTGAACTAGAGCTTGCTTTGGCAGGGGCTATTAAACCTTCACGAGATTTCGTCATTGCTGTTATTGTTTGTCTTTTTGTGCTTCTAGGTATGTATATATTGCTAGTATTATAATATTAAAGCTATAGAAAAATTATGCACACTCAATCAGTGCTAGTAGTGTTTAACTTTAGATGCACTAATGTTTATTAATTATTTTCACAATCAATGTCTTTTTCTCTACTTAGATAATAATAGCACATTATTACTGTTGATGCAAAAATAAATATATTTTTTCTTTATTTTTGCTCAATATGTACAATATTTAAATCATTATACAAACGATTCGGTTATGGGTTAATTGGTACCCAAATTCCCGCTTTATGCGCAGAAACGACATAAAGTCGAATAATGTGAAAAATGGCGCGTGTACCAGTGTAAAAATCCCATTATCAAACGTCGCACATCATAAAAGGTAGGTGCCAACCCCAAATCTAATCGAAATCGTTTGGTTTGTTTGTTGTAAACTAATTCATGTTGGGGCAACAAATATTAATTACAGCCCACATTTATTCTTGTTGCGCTAACAATTACAACTAAGTATAAGTGCCTATAGAAATGTTCCGATACTAATGAGATTTCTATTTGCAGTCTTAGTATTAGTATTTGTGGTGTATAACAGAAGAAGAGAAGCGCACATCAAGTATCCTGGACCGGATGACGACGTTCGAGAGAACATCATCAACTACGACGACGAAGGTGGCGGAGAAGACGACATGACCGCTTTTGACATTACTCCTTTACAAATTCCTATTGGCGGACCTCTTCCAGAATATGTACCTCCTAAACTAGCTTGTGAGTATCTCAAAGGACACTAGTTTCTTTATCTCTGACACTGTCTCTTAGATCCGCCAATGCTTGGAGTAGGACAAGAACCCAACGTAGGAATATTCATAGAAGAACATAAGAAAAGGGCAGACAGCGATCCAAATGCACCGCCCTTTGACGACTTACGGAATTACGCGTACGAAGGGGGCGGTAGTACGGCAGGTTCATTAAGCTCTCTTGCCTCAGGTGAGCATTTATATAATTTGCGTGAGATTTAAATACTGCCTACTCAAGACTCCAAATTACGACAACTGCGCGTAAGGTCACAGATCAGTTGTTTATAAAGCATTCGAGTATTCCACTATTAGACGTTAATTTAATTTCAATTATTTATTTGTGCAGGAACCGACGACGAAGCGCACGAGTACGATTACTTGGGCGCCTGGGGTCCACGATTTGACAAATTGGCGGATATGTACGGACCAGGTGAAGAGACTGAGCATGAAGAGGAATGAAGCCGTTTTTCCAACTAAAACTTTTCACGTGCTAATACGTGACTTACAAGACTGTTGGCAGTAATTGCACTGTCACAATTAATTTAGAGAAGGTATCAGCGAAGTTTCCTCGAGCCTATATTCATCTAAATTCACTGCCATGCCTTTTAACATTCACCACAATACTTTATTCTTTAGTCTAAGCATTTCTAAATTTGGCAAATTACTGCTGCGTTTTAATTTATGGGAAACTTCTACGATCACCGTGGCATTGCAAATTGAATTATGCACACGAAAACCATTTTTCATGTATTGTTAAAGCCAGTATTCCTATGAGCAATGTAGGTCATAGCCAGTCACTACATTCTAGGTCAAATTACGGTATAGAGTAGATAAAATTATGAGTGTGAAGTGCGCATGCGCGGATAAATGTGAACTTTAATAATTGTAAATACAATTCGTACCTGTGCTGTATTGATAAATGCAGTACGACGCCTAACCTGTTGCCATATTGAATGGGACTCTTTTTTATAAGTTGACAGTTCATCTAGAGATTTCAGTGTTTGTAGGTATGTATATAGTTTTGTATGTGTGCGAGTGTGAAGACTGTAATAAAATGGAGAGCCAGTGCCAATTACTCGTAACTTATAAATGTAATAATAATTCTTGAATGCTGTGTAATAATATATTATGTGTTTGCACTTGTGGATTATTTAAAAATGTATACTTAATATTTATATTATTAGCACTTAGCACCACTGTAACACCTACAAGTGATCCATTTGTCCATAATTCATTTATCATTCATTTGTTAAGTTCGAGTGTTTTCTAGTGATGATGATGTTACAATTTGTTGAGAGTATCATAATTATTATATGTAGAACGTCATCAATGTCTTAATTTGTACAAGATTTTTTTATTTTGTGGAATTTTATTAAATATAGAATTTTAATGTATAACTTCAGCATATCCGAAGATCTATATGCAAAGTAACTCTATGGAATTCATATTTCATGTAAGAGAATGCCATGGGTGGGTGTTGGTAGGTAGATACACTTATACAGTCTTACTATAGTACCTACTAATCCATTTCCATTTGGTTTGGGTTATGTGCACAAACTGCAAAATGCTACTTACTGGTTGGGTTACTTAAATATGTGCTATCAACCTGAATTTCAATAGCTCTCTGGATCTATGACACACCCCGGATCATAGGTGATAGGATACCCTTTGAAACAAAATAAATCTACTGCACCGTCACCTCCTTAAATTTAACAAAATCATAACCTATACTAATACCGCAAATTTTACCTACCTTTTTCTAACCGCAAACATTTTAAATGAACGGCAGCAAAAAAAAAACTAATATCAGGACTTTGTTTTTGATTAATAACTTCTACACAAAACTGCAAGTAGGTACGTCATCAGGCTTTTATATTTCTTCTTAACAATGGATTTACACTTGCGACGTGAAATTTATAGATTTTAGTCCCCATCACTTTGATGATATTAGCGTCTAATGTGACCGTTTCACTATGGGATATAAATTCCTCTTCTACTGTTCAAAATGCCAAACAACTTTACGCATCAAACAGCATGTGCTCCAAAGCAATGGGTTTTCTTATGTAAATGTCCGCCGTAGAGTACAAGTGCGACTGATGGCAGACAGAAATTTTTGTCGAATGGGAACGATTCTAGTGCGGGTAAATTGCAAACAAGATGTGAAAGAATGGTGCAGAAAATGTGCAGTTTACAAGTAACAAACCAGTAAGATAAAAGAAACCACAAATGAGAAAATGCAATTGTTGCTAGTCGGCCATTTGAAAAAGAACAGCTAGGTTTTGACCTAATTAAGCCATGAGCTACGTATTATATTGATATCGCAGGCCCCATCCCAGACAGCTGGTGGAAACAAATACATCTTATTATGGTAGTCCTGGACTATTGATGGGTATACCTATATTTACAAGACCAGAACCACTGCTCTGCTTTAAACCCGCATTCGGACAAAATGGTATAAGGTAGCTATGAATAAGACAACGGGGGAAGTACCTCCTACTTGCCAATAGTTGTGTACGGCTAGCAGCGCGATTGGGACCATAATGTGTGCATATTTGTTCTGCGGTGCAGGGAACAACGTTATGGGACGGACCCCATCTTCCGTGTATTTGATGTGGAAAATGCGAGGGAAAATGTGGAAAACCTATTCCCGAAATTGGGTTCTATCGATAACAAACACAATAGGCATCAGTTACATACAGCGAAAGATGCTGGAATCAACCCGGAGTTGTATCTTCTCCAAAGACGACGCGGGCTATCGCTGAAATTGCAAGGATCTTCGGAACGACTTAATATATAGGAATCGCATACGGAAACTATCACGAAGAAAAGCTTTGGCAGTGCACATAAATCGGTTATGGCTCCATGCGCAGGCCAGTACGAGCTCGAGGAACATCCAGAAACAGTGAACGTGATGTAAACGAAACCACGACAATCCACTTTTGCAGAATTTATGGCACTTATTCAAACAGCGCGTTGTTATCGCGGAGTGCCTAAAGATTTGTTTGAAGCGCGTTGCCAAGGACGTAAAGATATCACAGGGTATCCATACAGTATTGTCTTAGAAAGTGGTTTGGTCGTTTAAGAAATCCACCTTCAACGCTTCAACGTTACATGGTTGGTAAGCGTGTTTCCTATAGGAGCAGAGACGGTTTATTTATTATTTCATAACAAAAGATCGGCCTTGGTAGGATAAACCTATGATTACAAGAATTTAGTTAGTCGATATGATCCGTGATGTGCATCACAGCGCATGTGATGTGACCGGCTGCCATGACGTCATGATCGTATACGATAGGGATAAGTTCAAGTTTAGCTGCATTCCCGAATCGTGGACGAACTTTATGCGCTAACCAATCACAGACAAGAATTGAACTGTCATTTGTCAGTTTTGTATTTTGTTTTGTTTTTGCATTACGGATACTGTTATTAATAACCAGAAAATCCTCTAACAATTCCATGTTTTATTTCACAGAAAATACGTGAATGTATAGGGTAGGGCACTGAATAACCTCTATAGCAAAACAGCTGCAAGATCCGTCCTGTAGCTGCAACTGCGCATGACTTTCACTCAACGAGTGGTCTAAACCAGTCGTTGCGTTAGATCAACTTTTCGCTCGATGTGGTAGGTTCGAGAATGCAGTGACATTCACGTTCACATCAAGGTCAGTCGATGTGAACAAAGCACATCTTCGGGAATCGACGCCCAGGAAATATGTTATGCATATATTCCAGGATTTCGAAGAGGTTTAGTGTATTTACTTTATTATAAGTAAATTGAATTGTCCTTAATTGGCTTAATTTAAGTTCAACATTTATACCGAAGTAGGTAATAAATGAAAAAAACAAATAGGGTGAACAGCCCAAGTGTAAACAAAATGTACGTGCTATACAACCGTCGCGACACTGGCAGCCAGTCGCCTCGTTTTTACGTTGATTCTAGTCTTTAAAGAAACACCACTTCCACTATAAGATATGATAAGTAGATAAATCACTCAAAAGCGACTAACACATCTTCTAATACTGCATGTGCATGCAGAAATTACAAAAAGTGTAGAAGTAGAGGCTATATTGAAAGAATTTGCCAGCAAAACTGCGGAAAGGCGGAAAATTTTTGGATATATTTAATTTGATACAGTGTGTAAAACGATGGGGTATACAAGAGGGATTTTTTTAAATATTGATTTATGAAAAACATTTATTCTTCATGATATTTTTTGCTTGCTTTGAAAGTACCAATAACGTTTCGATAGTTTATGGTTTGATAGCAATACGCTATCTTGATTATAATGTAGAATGATAACTTTCAATAAAAAAAATTAATTTTATTATTTTTCCAGATTTCTATAAATAAATTTTAGATTATCGAAACGTTATTGGTACTTTCAAAGCAAGCAAAAAATATCATGAAGAATAAATTTTTTTCATAAATCAATATTTAAACAAAAATTCCCTCTTGTATACCCCATCGCTTTACACACTGTACATATACTTGCTTTTCTTTACAATGCTCAATAGTGCAATAAATAGGAACAAAATTTTTGCAACGTTTGTATGTTCTAGTTCATTATTTTTTAATAAAATATTAATGATCTATGGCTATAGTTTTCTCATCGAGTCAAGTACCTCTGAGTTGCTCAATTGCATATAACTAGACAGCTCCGACACTTTTTTAAATTTTTTTCAAAACTTTTCTTTCAAAAATACATTATTTGATTGATTAAATGAACGGGTTTCAGGATCACTTAAAAAACCCACTGCTTTGCATTAAATCGTACACAATTTTGCATGGGAGGGACCTTTCAGACTTCATGGTCGCTGATTTTTGCCCCCCCCCAACCGTTATTCACTTCCGACGTCGCTGTTCGGTAAGGTTAAACCTCGGGTTAAACGTAGTCTTGCTCAGGACCATTTTATGTATTAAGAAAATAGGCCGGTGTCTGAGTGTAATCTTTACCGTACTGAAACTTAGTAACATTATATACTCGCTTTTTTTGAGTGACTAATACCGAAAATAAAGATAATCGAATCAAAAGCATCAGAGGGTCCACTCTGTATAAACAACTTACGGCGATGCACACAATGTTGAGAATTGGCAACCACGCAATTTTTAAGGGGGGAAAAGCTACCTGCCCTATCTAGAGAGCATGAACGTTGGTTATGTTTGGCATCTTGTCTTTAATGGCGGTCGCGAACGCGTCGCTCCGTAAATGTTTGCTGCTATTTTTGTGTTATTTAATGCAGGTAGTAATATTCGCATTTCTTTATATCGTATTTGTGTGTTATATGCAGCATTTTATATTTTTGTGAGTTTCAATCTTTGTTTTTGAAATTGACTTGATTTAACCTTAATGCAGAATCACATAATTATTTGATACCGTTATCCTTTTGTTTGTGATCGTTTACGTTTTTGGTGTAATGCTTCTTTAATTTATGTTTATGTTTTGATTACATGATCTGGTAATATTCAGATTTTATCATACTTTTAAACATGTGGAAATTATCGAATTGTTTTGATGTGTGTATGCGTACTGACTTGTTGTTTGTAAACTAATATTTTCGCCGTGAATGAAGCAGTCACTAGGGTGGAAAACAACTGTAATCAAATGAGTTACAACACCTAATTCCGTGATTGCGTTCGACTTTCAACTGTAGGCTCGAAACCCAGAACGAGGGACGAGTTATCTATCTTGGAGGCAAGATTATGCTAATTAAAACTCTCAGGAGCCATGCCTTATATGTTTGATCACGTGTCACTTTCAAATTTAAGCAGAATCTTGTTCAGTTTTAGAGGGAATAGTCATTCGGGCGGCCCTTTTTAACGTTGCCGGGTTGACTTTATGTCCGTGTTCTTGTAGTGTGAAGTTACCGTAGAACCCGGAGGTTAAGTACACTACACGCAGTAAGGTAGTTGACGAATGTGTTAAGAAAGCAATAGTTGAAACTACTGCTCAAGAAAAGTAGAAGAGACAACAAAATGGTAATGTACTTAAATTTTGTGCATTTGTTTTACCTATAATATATTTTTTTTGTTTATGTTGGAAAACCTAAAACCAGAAAAAAAGAAAGCTAGAACAGGAACCCGAAATTTATTGAAGTCACACTCACAGAACCGGACCCGGTACCGCAACACTTAAAAAATAATTCTACCTAAGCAACGCGGAACCGGAACCTATAATTCATAACAAGACAATGATCCGAAACTCAGAACATTAGTATAACGGCAATTGTATGATGTGCTGCCTACAATTTGGACACAAAACGTTCTTTCTAAGATCGTAGTGTTAGCCTTACCTTATATTCTTACACGAAGGGTAACACAACCCTAAGTACTCTAAAATTTTATAAATTTGTGTTACTAGAAAAACTATTTTTTTAAATCCCTTTAATTTCTGCGCACCTTGTTTACTAGACGATTTAGGGAAATCAACAGCTCTTGTAGTGGTACACAATTTGACAATTGGTTTAAAACTTCTCTACGTTACTTTGCAAAATTTACAAGCAAAATTCATTAGTTGTGTTTTAGGCAATTTAGTGAATTAAAACTTGTGAAAATGGTCGCAAACGAAAACACCGATGTCGAAATGAAGAACGCGGATAGTCCACCAGGACCCGAAGCCGGGGATAGCAAACGGGATGTCGATCTACAAAGTTTAATCGACGTTCGCGAACAAGCCAGGCAAATTGAAAAGGCGGTCACAAACAAAGAAAATCGTTTCGTCTCTCGTGTATTGAGAAGTCTCCCCACAACGAGGAAGAAGCTGAATGGTGTCGTACTTCGTGGTTTGATCAATCAATTATATCCTGCACTCGAACGAGATGGATTGCTTTGTTTCCTTGATGAACCCATCACCGGTGCGGATTCTGATACGACCACTCGAGGACGAACTGCCATTAAAACTCCTGTGGCAGAAGTTGACGTTTACATTCACATGTTGATTTTGGTGCGCCTCATTGATACGAATAAGCTTGATGAAGCGACCAGATGCTCGCAGGCACTTATGACAAAAATTACCGGTCAAAATCGTCGCACACTGGACTGGATTGCCGCCAAGTGTTACTTTTATCATTCGCGAGTCGCCGAGCTAACCAATAAATTGGAATCCATCCGTGGTTTTCTACACGCTCGCCTTCGTACAGCCACGTTACGGAATGACTTTGAAGGCCAAGCGGTGTTAATAAATTGTTTACTCCGTAACTACCTGCATTATTCTCTGTACGATCAAGCGGACAAATTGGTTAGTAAATGTGTATTTCCAGAAACTGCCAGTAATAATGAGTGGGCACGTTTCTTGTATTATTTAGGCCGAATTAAAGCGGCACGCTTGGAGTACAGTGTGGCATATAAACATCTTGTTCAAGCTGTACGCAAAGCCCCTCAGAGTGCAGCCATCGGATTTAGACAGACCGTGCAAAAATTGCTTGTAGTGGTTGAACTTCTGCTAGGTGATATTCCGGAACGTCAAGTTTTCCGGCAGGCGAGCATGCGGCACTCCCTTGGTCCGTACTTTCAACTAACCCAAGCAGTTCGTATGGGTAATTTGCAACGTTTCGGAGAAGTTTTGGAAAACTTCGGCCCCCAATTCCTCCAAGATCACACGTTTACGTTAATAACACGATTGAGACATAATGTCATTAAAACCGCCATTCGTTCTATCGGTTTATCGTACTCGAGAATAGCGCCACAGGATATCGCGAAAAAGTTGGGTTTGGATTCGGCCGAAGATGCCGAGTTTATTGTCGCGAAGGCTATACGCGACGGTGTAATTGAGGCAACATTGGATCCTGAAGGCGGTTACATGCGCAGCAAAGAAAGCTCCGATATTTACTGCACAAAAGAACCGCAGAATGCCTTCCATCAAAGGATTGCGTTTTGTTTAGATCTGCACAATCAAAGTGTGAAAGCCATGAGGTATCCTCCTAAATCGTATGGTAAAGAATTGGAATCTGCCGAGGAGAGGCGAGAGCGAGAGCAGCAAGATCTAGAGCTAGCAAAGGAAATGGCAGAGGAGGATGATGACGGTTTTCCTTAAATGTAGGCCTTTAATATGTATTTCTTATTTGGGATGTGTGTGAAGTAAACGTTTATTAAATTTTCTTAATCACTTGTTTAGAATATGTAAAATGTCATAGTAAATAATTTACTTGGAGTTATTTTTATTGTCTTACAAAAATACATGATGCTGCATGAGACTTTATTGTATTGGAGAAGTTTTCAATATTACACTTCAAGTTAAAGCTCTTTTATACTAACATTCCAGCAATAGATTTGCATATGTGACGCAGTAGCAGTAACTAGTGAGGCACGTAGGGTAAAAACAAATCAATTACAAAAGGCAAGCCAATACTCACTAATTTCTTATGGTGCAAGTTGGAGTTCAACATCAATCCAATAACAATAACCCTACCCAGAGCTGTCATAAATCATTTTTACAAAAATGAATTAACCTTTACAAGATGGTCAGTTTCACTTTGTCATAGTGTATACTACAATGGCAGAAGCCATAGAAATCATAAAACTTTTGAAAAATCTGTAGGTGTTTAATTTAGACGTGCAAAATAACACTGTTAGGTTATCCTGTCTTGTTCATAGAAACATATATCAATTCATTCTGTTCTGCACTTCATTTTATTTCGTGCTCCGCGTCCCATTTTCTATAAGAATGAGTCATTGGAATGCACAATGATGTGTCACTTTATCCACGTTTGCCGTTCAAGTGATCACTTCTACTCTGATATCACAGATAAAATACCCCCATTATCTGTGCTGATATTAAAGACACCCTACTACATCAAAGGTGCTTTCTTTCGGCTACTTCGCAATCATGATTTCAAAATCGTGATTCGTAGGATCACGTTTTACGAAAGAACGCGCGAATTTAAAACAAAGTATGGTTAAGTTTACGTAGTACACATTTGAATTCGAATTATGTATTTTTTGTTTGGATTATGAAAATAATTTAAATTCAAGTGGAAGTACTTGCGCAATTATGCTCCTCTTCAGTTACAAATATGGACTAACTTAACATTTGAGCATAAATATCCTTGCATTTATAGGTTAGGAATTCGTGATCATAAAACTTTTATGTTCAGTTTGTTCACGATCTTAGCAATCATGATTATGAGATCACACTTCGAAAGAACGTGATTTGACAATCCAAACGCGTTTGGATCACCGAAAGAAAGCGCCTGAAATTTAAACGTCCAAAAAAGTTCACGCCCTCTCTATCTTTGAAACCATGCATTTCCAGTCCTACGTGTGTAAGCATCTTTGTTTCATAAAATAACCTGACCAATCACCTTCCGTATGTATTAAGGTACCGCGAACTTTAAAGAGGTTCGTGATTAAGGTACATGAAATTTAGGAACACCCTGTAGTTTTTTCATTGAAGAAAAGGTAAAGCAAACTTGTAAAAAGATATGTTAAATATGTTCTTGTTCTGACTTACCTTACTTGCTTTTGTACTTTGATGAGTTTACGTTGTTCCTTTCATCACTTTTGACGAGACACAAATGAACAAAAACAACAACACAACACGTCGAATTTGAAAAGAGAATAACTTTTGGAATAAAACACCGCGTTTGCACTATACCAAAGAGTAGTAAGGTGTATTATACTAGACTTTACCATTGATTATAGTACCAATAGTACCTATAATCATTGTTGGTATAATCAATGACTTTACCTAGAATCGTGCTTAGAATAATCACGGCATCTGCAGGCTACGACCATCTTAGATCATATGTACCTATATAATCTGACGATCATAGACATACGAGGGTTATCCAGAAAGTAGCAGACGTTTTGAAATAAAAATTATATATATAATTAAAATATAATGACAACGATTATTCTTATTCAAAAAGTTTATTATTAAGTGATTCCGTATGTGATTAAGGGTTTTTTGTGTTTTACATGTGACGTTATACGGTTATCATTTCTAATGTGGTTGCTAGATTGCGAAATTTGTTAAATTCAAGTCAACGGAGTCGTAGGTACAGGTACAGGGCCCTAAAGAAAAGTAACCAAACGTAAAAAATTTTGAAAAATCTTGAATAACTTGAGAACCTTTGATGCTGGGTATAGGGAAATGTGATATCAAACGACGTAGATTCTCATGTAGATTTCTAATTTCTAAATGCAATTAAATAGAGGGTGTTCTATTTAAAATAGAAAGTTCCTATAGAACATGAAGAACTATGTTTGTATGCAAATCTTCAGATTTTAATTATTAATGGAGTTTGTCTCGCTGAGGTTAAGTGGAAGAGCAGCACCTGCGTGTGCTGAACTTCGCCTCTTTATTTTGCAGTAATTATGTATATATCAAAAATGAATCAAAATAAAGACATTTATTACTATTATTATTATGAATACTTTTAGGTAACTGCGTGAAACAGCCTGTATAATATAATGTAAGGTGGCTAACATCCCAATATTTTTTTGATTTTTGATTATGAAACCCTATTTTATTTTATTTTTACGACCACGCTGTATATCAGAATTCAGAGACGACCACCGGAGCCCACACGGGGCCTGAAAATCATAAGCCTTTTATCTATAGGAAATCAGACCTCTCTGGATTTCCTATGAGATGCTCCCCAAATTCTTCCAATTTGCAATCGTTGGGGAAATCTTTTTAATTTAAAATAACCTCAAATGGACTTCGCGATAGTTTACGTAATTTGATTACGAATTTTGCCGCCATTTTTAGAATGGTATTTTAATTTTCAACTGTACTCGAAAAATGCATTAAAATACGATCCAATTGATAAAATTGTCCACAAAGCAACAGATAAATGCAATTTGTAATCCGGAAAGAATGATTAAATAAAAATTAGGTCGCCTTTTAAATCGTGGTCATTTCAGTTCAGAATTTTCAGCCATCTATCAGTCTCCATATTTCTGTCACTGATCATTCCAATTTTCGTTTCGGCAAAATTGCAGAGCTTTAAATGCATAAGTACTGCACGTACTTGCAGTTTTGTGGTCGTGCGAGTTGCGTTCATTTTTGCTATGGTTTCTCGTGAATGGTTTGGTTGTAAGTAAAAAATGTGGTTATGTTAGTCTTGGTATTGAATTAATTTTATCTTATTTTGGGTAGAAACTCGCCTAAATCCTTCAATGTGTTCTGGAGATGGTGTGTAAAGAGGACGTTTTATTATGGTTTAAGGACTTGGAAGGTTATAAGCGGTTAGATGTAATGTACGAGTTGTTAAGTATGTGCGTCCCTTTCGAAGTTCGGTTTTTGGGTAGTTGCATTGAAGAGATCGGTAAGCACAGTTATCAAGAGCTACGAGGATCCGCAATTATAGCTAATGACATTGATAAGCTCACGAAGGACTCAACGCTTACACAGGGGTTATTCGATGAAGGTGTTCGACATAGAGTATTAATTTATTTATCGTTGTTGTCTGCGAGCAATTGCAAGTGTGCTAATTGGTTGTATAAAACGTTACTCAGGACAGAATGGGTAGAGTCGTGTGTGTTAAGAGGGAATGTTAAAGATGAAAATTTGCAAAGTGAACTTTTATTATTGTTTACAATGGGCCTATATCATCCGGCATTCACGTTTGATCAAAAAAACTTTTTCGGTAACATGTTGGCCCATGTTATCGAGCAGAGGGAGTGCAAGAAGCATCTGACAACCAAACCTTTCCCGAGTTATAGTCCAGGAATGGGATACAATCATTTACAAACAATAATCGTAAGTTTTAATTAAGCGTATAAAAACAGAAACTAGAGCAGGAAAATAGCAATAAATTGTGCTCGAAATTTGGGTCATTTTTTTAAATTCTATTAATGTCACATTTTTAGTCGCAACATGATACGCCATCTGTACCTGTAAAGACTACGACTGTATGTCAAACTGATCGAGTTCCTCACCCGCAACAGACCCAAACTATAATTCCGCATCCGATTAGCGGTCCGGTTGAAGTAATGCAGATGTGGACGAGACCGGGATTTATCGGGCAGGTGCATCCGCCGCCGGAGGTAAATTTTTCATTTCGATCAATTTAAAACTTATATTTTGTTCAATTTCGCTTACATTTTTTGATATTTTATAGATCTCTCCATTTCCCCCACCACCTGCTTCTCCAATAGTCAGTGAATCTTCATCGCCTTGTCCAAGTCGGACTGCCTCTCCGCATAGGACGTACCCTATTAGGTCAGCTACGGGGCTGCAGTCGCCTAGTCAGATGGTCGAAGTCCTACCTGTTTATAAACCTCAAGTTCCTCCCAATCCGGTCTCTCAACCTAATTTGCCCCCTTTTGGTTCGGCTTTCATATCTAACGATGAGGATGTAAGTCCTATTTATTTTTTATGTTATCGCTTTTTGTTTTATGAATTGCACATATTGTGATCACCTTAGAAAGAAGATGTTGCAGTCAAATTTATTAACAGTAATTTTGTTGTCTAATTTGGCAGTTGAAATACCATGTGTGTTTTCAATTTCATGTCGTGAACAAAATAAAAATTCATTTATATTTCTTCAAACTGGAATTGATTTTGGCTCACTCTGTATATACCTAGATTAGAGAGCGAGCTGCGGGAATAACATTTGCCTTATGTACAGGGCGGTTAAGTATCACTGCCAAATTAGAGAGCGAGCTGCGGGAATAACATTTGCCTTATGTACAGGGTGGTTAAGTATCACTGCCAAATAATTCTTGTAAAATAAGCACAAGATGATCATGAAATTATGTGCACTGCTTTAATTTTGTTATAATTTGTTTATTTACTTTTATAATGTGATATATCCACAACATGTGTTACCATGATGAATGCTTTTCTCCATAGATGTGTTGTATCTCAAGAAAGGATAACTTTTATTTGTCGAAAATTTGCCATAAGTGGTTGGTTTCCAAGGAAAAAATCACTAGGTACCTTTAGTGTACAAATAGGGAAAATTTGTGGTATTCAGAACTATTTTCTGGCATTTTTTAAATTATTTCAAGTAAATTGTGGTTAGCTTCTTGGTAAGGCCGCCTGGCACATTGAAAATCTACGCATATATAATGCAAAAAGAATCAAGTGTTTAGGGAAATTTTCTACAATATTGCATTTTCCCTTTGTAAGTACTCTTCTCCAACACTCCTCAAGATATTCGCATTTAAGTTTTCACATCACTAGTACATATGTATGTCTCCTCCAGACGTTCCAATCGCCCTCTCTTCACACGATATGAGAAATTATAACCGATTTTTTCATTAGAGTACAGGGTGGTCCAAATTGGACGCGTTCTTATTGTTATTTTATTACATATTTGGAGCTCAATTTTAAACAAAATTACTGCCGCAAACAGAATTCAACTGTCTCTAATCGGTTAGCCGCTAGAAGGCGTTTCTCGAATTTATTCGATTTCTTTAACACCCCACAACTTTCCTATTATTAAAGATAATTGATTTTGGGAAAATGTTTCCTAAAACACTTATATATGTAGAATTCATAGCGATACAGTTTCTATACAGAGTGTTTAGTATTTTTTATACGATCCTAAACTATATATTTTCATGGGAACCACCCTATATATTTTGTTTTTGAAAAGAGCGCAAAATTTAGTATATTACTTAAATATTATTTGCAATATTTCCTTTTATACATTAAAATATTTTTATTGCAGACATCTAGGTTTCCATGGGGAACAAAAGATGGTAGAATTATTGAAAACGACAATTTCTTGGTTATCTGTATTATTTATTTATATATTATATTATTTATTTATTTTATTCACATATGTATTCACACATATTGCAAATAATATTTAATATAAATATAATAAGTGATACATCAAAATTTAGGAAATTGTACGCTCTTTTCAAAATGTATAGGGTGGTCCATATGACAAAATGTAGTTTAGATCGTATAACACCCTGTATAATTACTGTGCAATGGATTCTACGTAAAAAGGATGATTTTGCCAAAATTATTTATCTTTAATAATAAGAAAGTTACAGGGCATTAAAATCGACTAAGTTCGAGAAACGCACCCTAGCGGCCAAACGGTTGGAGATAGCTGAGTTCTGTTTGCGCCAGTGATTTTCTCTTTGAAATTGATCTCCAGACACCTAGGTCCATTTTTTCTATCTCTTAAAATAAAGGGTGTCTCCATAAGAAAGTGCCCAATTTGAACCACCCTGCATACATGCATTCAAGGAAATGGGTTGTCCATTAATTATGTGATGTTTTTTAGCAACTTTTTAAACCTCACTCCTCCTGGTGATACGTGATGAAATTTAAGACTACCCCCCCCCCTCCCCCAAACTACCCAAAAATCACGTGTATTTTTTTAGTACATAGTATTTCAAAAAATTTCAGAATATATCTTTAAATACAGGTTAAGTACTGTAATCTGAGAATTAAGGACCGTGATAAACATGTCCAGACTGACATTAAGGTGTCAGGTTTAGAAATCGCACATTGTAACCAAAAAATAAATACACGTAATTATCTCAGTACACCCCCTTTCACCCGACCCCAAACAGATTCGATTAGTGGAAGGGATCTGGTTCGTAGAAAACTATTCCTTTTAGTCTGGGAGATTAGGAGAAAAGTTTGGACTTTTGAGTAAACCTATGAAAATTGACATATGCTCTTTGACCCTTCGTCTTAAAGTTCTGATGTGGCGCCACGCTAATTTGCTCTTCGAACCCTGTTAAAGGGGGATTACTTATACCAATGTTGATTGCTCCATGATTTTTTTGAAAACCCATTTAGAATATTTGGGGTCAACCACTGGGGCACTGGTAAGCCCTTGCAACTAAGGGTTTCCTACCCATTCAGGCGCTAACTATCCGTTAACTAGTTTGATTTTATGGTATGTTATCATCTTACTACCCATGTAAGATAGAAAAATGTAAATCCTGCCCATTCTAGATATTTTTACTTAGAATCCTGGGGCGTAGTCAACAAATTTTGTTGGGTCACCGTTTCTGAAATTTGTGCCAAAGTTGGTATTTTTTAAGTGCAACACCCTGTATATGTTAACTGAATATGCCAAATTTCGCTTTCATTTTCCCTAGCTTAAACGGTCTGAAATGGACGGTTGCGACGAAATTTCGCCTGAAGTTCGCGCACCAACGGTGGCTGTGATTCTCCTTTACACAAAAAAATAAACGATCTAATTATAAAATGAAATGTAATGACAGAAAATGGAAATTCAGCGGTAATTTACAAGCGTAGTCTGTAAACGGTGACGGCGGTAGGTAACTGCGGAACGAGAGTGCTTCGGGCGCCAGCAGAATATTCGGTCTTTCTTGTTTCTAGACAAGATGCGGTTGGCGATGGTAACCTCCAGATAACTTAGATAGAGAACTGCTCTCCCAGGAATTCCAAAGGGCAAGCGGTGAGCCGGCCACTGGTAAATGCTAAAACATACTTAAAGCGCACAGCAATTTCCATGGCCGGAACAGTAAATAATCGCATTCGGTAGCGGTTTCTACGGGAAAGGAATTGCAGGAAGCCAGACAATATCCTCGCCTCCTACCTATAATTAATGAAACGGAAAGTAACAAAAAGCTTACCTGGCAATTAACGAAGTGGTACACTGTGCAGGCAAAAACAAAAGCTACAGATACGGTGCGATAATGTAACAGCTAAAATGAAATGGTCTAAATGCAAAATAAATTTATGGAAAACCTCAAAATTACGTTTCGATTCAACTTACGTTTCGGTAAACGGCGGCGTTATTTACGGTAGCGGCACTTGAAACACAACTCTAATAATTAAATCAATTACCTTTCGCTTCTACCTTCTACTCCTAAATAGTCCCGGAGCGACAATCTTCGAAAGTCATACACAGGGTGGTCACCAAAACTTTTATAGAAATTACAAGAAAAATTTTAAAATCAAATGTTTTACTTTCTTTAACAAAACATCCATGGGTAACTAGATCTTGCTAAAGCTGCATTATTAGTTATTTTCCTTTTCTTTTTTTATTCTCTCTCTCTCATTCCGTAAAAATCCAATATGGCGTCCATAAGAAATCAGAAAGGTGTAGTTGCCTGTAGCTTCTACATCTAGCGTGTTATCGAAATTCTGAAACCAGATGGAGATGCCTCCGAAAAGAGTGCCTATGGAAGGGGTGTTAACGGGAACTGTCCTTCTTCGACCGTTTAAATTAGCAAAAATGAAAACTAAATTTGACATTTTTGGTTTTTTGGTGATGTCAGTTATTTTTAAAGATTTAAAAAAATTTCAAAGGGTTTTTTAGTCACAAAAAGGGTCAACTTAACCTACACAATATCTCTTTTGGCGAGCCACGAATTTGAACCATCCTTTACAAATATTTTCTGTTTTTTAATATATGTTGCACATTATTTTTACTGCTTTGCAGTTTTTCCTGCAAAAAAATTCACTTTTCAGGGAAACTTTCTTTTCATATATTGGACATCAAAACAAGGGTAATAAAAATGTCTGTTTTGTAGATTAAATTTGGTTTCATATTTTGCTGTGCGCGTTACGTCCTCCACTTCTCTTGGAGTTGGTTCTTCTCCAGAATGATTGTTGTTAGCGTTTTATGATTTTTTTAAAGCATACAGCCACAGTGTGTTTTATCATTACAGCAAATGTAAAATGTCAATGCGCTAATATTGGTGGTGGTTAATAGAGACGTTACTATAAACATTAATACTTATGTAATAATATACCATTTTTCTTTAGTGTACCCACATCCCAGATGAAAAAATGAGAGAATCACCTTGGATAAATCCGGTCATGGTGCGTGTCGACATGAAACCACCAAACGGGATTCGCCTTCCCCCATACTCGAAACTACCCGAAGAGTATTGTCTCGGCCAAATGCAAGCCCTGAATTTGGACGTCGACAACTCACTACAATGCTCTAGTTCTAGTTCGTCTAGCACCAACAGTCTGAATCACTCACCTCCCGACACGCCGACAGTTCCTACAGTACCACACCACGGCCCCGGGCGGGGCGAGACGAAGCCACGAATGAACGGCGTTCCGCAGCAATACGTGAATACTGGCCATCCTAATATGAACGTTGGACTTCCAGTTTGTGATACAACTCCACCTCCTCACCCCGCTCCCACCTTAAATAATTGTTCAGTGCCTTACAGCAATTATCCTCCGCAAGTAACGCTCACTGCCATTCCTAATAGGTCCGTTTATCAACCTTACAGGCCACCCTTTAGCGCACCCTTCACTTATCCGACACCGGAAATGTTCTCCTACACTTACCCTTACGTTTTCCTTTCTAGCACCCCCTCACAGTTACCCAACAGAACGTCTAATTGCTTTAATTGCGGCGCTGTCGGCCACGCTGGTGCTGATTGTAATGGACAAACCGTAGAGGACATTACTCAAAAGAAAGCGTACACCTTGGATTATAATTCAGCACTACCCAATGCTGAGAAATGATAATGACTGTTGCATATAGCTAGATTATATTTGTGATTCAATCGAGTTACCATATTATGTGTAATGCAGGTATCTGTATAATAGGGTCCCTAGATGTAAAGCAGCAATCTTTGTTGTTTTATGGGCAACGATTTTCAACTTACAATTTTTCTACTCTTCATTTTAATGTTTACTATTTTTTTAACTGTACGATGACAAGATCTGATATTGTACTGTCTTAGATGTAGCAAAGTTTTTGATGGGTGGTGTACTATTAAAATCACTCTAAGGAGATTTTAAATCTAATTTCTTTAAGAGTCGCATTGGCTTGCAACGCAATTTTTAATTCGTATGACCTCTATTAACAGAAATCGCAAACTCACCTTAATCTTAAACTAAAACTAAGTGCTTTACAGGATTTGTTTTTTGTCCACCCCTGGTGATATTTTAATTTTATAGTGCAGTTTCTAGAGTTCAAGTATGAATGTTTTATTGTTACGAATTTTAAAAAAAATGTATTTATTGTGTGTAAAAGAAGTTGTACTTATATATTTTTTGCATTGATGTGTTTGGTAAAATTAGATTAATCAATTTTTCTAGTTACTAAATTCTATTGTAAATATTAAATCGATTAATTTAAATTTTTTAAATTCTCAAAAATAAAAAATCAAACTCAATTTTAAAGGTTGTTTAAACAATTTTGATTCATGTGTATTAATTTGTATTGTAATTAGATTTTTGAATTTAGAAATACAGATTAAATATTATTATATTTATATATAATGCAATCAGTATCTGACTGAAAATATTTCAATAGATCAAATAAAGAGAAATTTTCTAACAAATTTATACTCTTTCTTTCTCCAATATTTTTCGTTGTAGAAATTCCTTGCAGTAACATTTTTTACTAATATTTATTAGCTAGATTTCATTACCAACCGGTGATTCATTTAGAGGTACATTAAAAAAAACCAATGCTGTGAAGGTAATGAATTTCATTTTATGATCTTTATTATCATGTGAAAGATCCACTGTAGGCTCGACATTCCGAAACTAGGGACGAGTTACATATCTTGGGGGTAAGGTTATGCCTATTAAAACTCTTCGGTTTAGAATCTATGTGTGATAAATGAGTTGCGATTCATATAATTTGCCTAAAGACCATGTAATTTTCCATCTTGCTCTTAACAAATGGACTTTGCACAAAAGATGAGTCACATCTTGTACCCTTCACCCTTTCTCAGAATTTAGGTGCCTGGTTACCTTACCCATTGTTCCCTAAATCTGTTTTAACCTTGATTGTAATCAACTTTATGTATATGCATTTACTATCTTTATTAACCACACTGCTTAAACTTGATAATTCCACAAATGATTTTAACTAACTTTTGGGTTGTATTAATCAAAGTCAAGGTCTTTGGAATAAATATATCCCAATTCCTAAAATTTTTTCCATTTCTGTTAGACATCTGAGGGCAAGAATTTTACGAACATTTTGCATCAAATTATAATAACTAATCTAAAAGCCCTAGGTACAAAGTTAAAAATTGATAAAATCAAATTCTCGATTCATTCTGAGCGTGACGACGAGTTTTTCGGCATCTTTATCCCATTGTGCATTTCCTCGCTGGGGATCTACCGGTTGAGGAAGCGGTACTTCAAGTTTGTATTTGGGCGACACCAATTTTAAGCAAGTTTCCGTAATTTTCAGATCGATATTGCGAAAATCCTCTTCCGGTAAATTAATTTTAATTATCATGTCCTCACAACTAGCCGTAGATGTAGATTTTCCGCTCATCTAAAACAAACATTAATCGATTGGTGTACTTTTCAACTATTCTGTTAGGGATGCAAATACTTGCAAAAATACATCGGAAGCGGACACTTGCTGTTTATACGCGACTTCCCACTGCGGCGTTTTTCTCCAATCTGAGTTTGCACACGATTGTTCCGAAAAATATAACGCTTCCTCGGATTCTGGATCGTTTACGTCAAATTTTGGCTTTTCTGGTGGTAATTTGCTGTACACGCTTTGCTTTGGTGTCTTTCCTCCCTTACATTCTGGCTCTAAAAAAGGCATTAATTTCCAAAAACAATGGGAGTCACTACCTTTGGGATCACGGGCGTCATCCTCTGAATCCGAATCAGTATCAAATTCCTTTTGCGGCTTCAGAAGTTCTGCGAGTTTTAAAAGGCTAGATCCGTCAAAATCCATTGGCAATGTCTATTCCTTACTTGTAGGTGCACTATTGATTAAACAATTGTTGTTATAGTTACATGCATTGGAGATTTGCAGGAAACTCAATTGTTACTATCCATGTGTTAAGATTTGAGAAACCTCCGTTCTAGTTTCACCTGATTTAATCAGAATTCATTGCCATAGCCTAAATACCCTATGTCTTCCGGGTGATCAAAAGCTTAAATTTTAAATTAAGGTTAATATGAATATCGCCATTGTGCGAGAGTTCTATTTTAGTAACACAAGTGAGATACATCACAATATTCGAATGCGATTAATTTAATTGACAAATTTTAATGCTACCAATGACGATCAGTAATTATACAAACAGTAGATGATTTGGAGCAGATATTTGTCAGTCTTATATTAAGTGAGTTCTAGTCAACATCATCATCCGAGATCATAGTAAAGAAGCATGTAAGTGCTAATTTTTTTCATTTCATGAGTGTATTTAAATAATTAGGATGAACGGATCTTATTGGTGTATTGCGCTATCAGTGACCTATTGCATTTCTATTTGTAGCAATTAATGAATTGAGCGCGCACTCAATAAAATAAATAAATGTTATACATTAATGAATGCAAAGAGATTCTGATGAAGCTTTTCATTGTAGAATGAGGTCGGAAAATGTACTGCTTTTCGCTTTAATCGCATTGGTATTCGTGGACCAGACTTCCGAAGCATGGAGAAGCGATCGACGTAAGTTTTCCCTCGTGAAAACCCTAATTTCCATTGGAAAATTTTCAGAGCCCAAAGTGATGGGGGACAAAATACCACAAAGTGCGCTACTACCCAATAGGAAACCATTACAGAACAAGATCGTGTTGTACCACAACTACTTTCGAACGAGAGTGGTGCCGAGGGCTGCCAACATGTTGAGGATGGTGCGTCGCTGCTTAATTTCGTAAAGTAGGTTTTACCTACTTAAATTTAAGTGTTAATATTCAACTTTGATTGAGCAAATTTAATCGGCAATTAATACTCGTGCCGTGGCATTTTTTTTTGATCGACTAATTAGTAAATACGCTAAGATAAGCAGTCGGGTGAGTAATATTTCTCTGATTTTTATCGATAATTTATGAATTTGTTTATTATGATCGAAACGAATGCTCATCTCGACAGTGCCACTTATCAGTTCTATTGCAAAAAAAGAACCTTGAATCTTTGGTTTCAATCACCTTGCGATTCAGTTTATAATCTCTTCCTGTAAACATATAGGGCTTCAAAAAAACCGTCGATTTGGCGTATTATATCTAATAGTCGATCAAGTAGAAAATACCAATGGGAATGGGTACCTACAATTCATTTGCACTTTTCAACATGCCACTGTCACCAAATAATGATCAATGCAGGATAATGTCAATGTTATGCTTTCCACCTTGCCTTGATGAACGATTCTTTGTTAGACCTAGATTCTGCATCCGTTTCAAGTGAAATTTTCATTAAGTTTCACCACCATACACTAATCCGTGTAGTCACATTTTTTCACTTGAGTTTCCCAGTGGCGGATTCAACAGGGGGTTCCGAGTCTGACAATTCCAGAATGGCTTAGCGAAAGGGCAAAATACATCCTTTTAAACAACAAACAACTTCATTTACATTATTTCCATTACATTTCCCACTTTCTATCTTTATAAAAATCTGTACTACATGTACCTACTTACTATGAATTCCCGACCTAACTTACCTAAACTGGGTGTCAACGAATCTATTAGGCAAGCCATAATTGCTAGAGTATCTATTAGGTGTACCTATCAAATGAGATTTGGTACAGGTAAATGGTATGTGAAAAGGCGAGTTTTCGGATATTTTTCTCTTTCCGCTCACTTCCGGTTTCATCGGAAATAGTCCAGGTTGTGAATTTTTAAATGGAACACGCTGTATATTTTTACATTTTTGGATTTCTGAGAGAATTCTGAATCAGAATCTGACCCTTTCAAAAGTGAAATTTGATACATAGGCATTTGAAATAAAGGAAAATCAATCGCCAGTTTCAAAATTTGGTTTTGCGCATGCGCAGTGCCAACTTTTTATTTATGGAAGCATTTAAATGAAATTTAATACATAGGCCCTTGGAGCAAAAGAAAATCTAAAGTTAATTTCAAAATTTAGGTTTGCGCATGCGCAGTTCCAACTTTCTTATTTAGAAAAGCATTGAAATAAAATTCTTCTTATAAACTGAAATTGAAGTAGCACGTCAAAAATGGATTGCACATTTGCAACGCTATCTTTCATATTTGTGGCCGGATTTTTACGATTTTAACAGAAGTTGCATCTTACAAATGGGAAATGAATGCAAGTGGAAGTGCGCTTTATGTAAATCGTTTACGATTACTTTTTAACTTATTTGTTATAAGTAATGTAGATTAGGAAAAATCTTCACTTCACTTAAACTCTATTTTTTAAGTTCATAGGGGAACAGACCTTATTTTAATTATATTTACTTGAAGAATCAGAAACCTCCGCATCTCTGATTCAACTCAACCCAAATGAAAAGAATAATCTCAATTTAAAAATGTTCGCTTTAAAAACAACTAGATAGGTCCTTCGTGAATCAGCCAATTCCGCCATATTGGAACAAAATGGCTGACACTTTTATATAGGTATTAATGCGGAATAATGATTGGCCGAGCGGAAAGGGATTTTTTATTGTTTTATCGTTGTGCAATTTTTTAAAAATTATTTTGCTTAGTTGTTGTGAGAATGTAGTTAGGGTTGTTTTTTTAAGTGCCGTTCCGTTTGTATTTTTTAAAAGGTGAAAAAAGCGAAAAGAAATTTACGATATATCGATTTGTAATATTGCATCATAGGTATGTTAAGCTCCGCTAGAGTGAATATATTTAGCACAAATACCGCCAAAAATGGGGTATTTTACGTCTGTGTCTTCAGTTTTGGGGTGCAACCTATATATTCGATGCAGTACGTGTAGGTACTTTTATTGGAGAAAAATATCATAAAAATTTCGATAAAATTGCTCACATAGGAAAGTTGACTATTGCGCACGCATGTGTAATCTCGTTGCGTTTCATGCTATGGATTGCATCCGATGACTTTGTTTCAATTTTACATAAATTCTTTATGATTTATAAAAACGTGTAACGATTTTAATATTATTATTTTTAATTTTTTTATTTGTAAACACGAATTATAAAATTGGAGCGCAGACTATTTGTCAGTTTCGGTTTTATAAATTTTATCAAAAAAACAAAATTAGTCAATTTTTGATAAAATTTTTTGAAAAAAATGGACTTTTTCATATCGATTATGATTTAACGCACTTGAAACTGTACTGTCGGGATGGGAAGCATATGTAACAGAGGTGTTCTTTAAAGTAATCGTTTAGTAACAAAAAGTTCAAAGAATTAAACCGGGAAGTGCCCATTTTGCGCCCATTTCGATTAGTTTTTTAATTTTTACTTTGATGCTCGCTTTGATGTTGTTTCGTGAAAACACTTTTGAATATTTTATGACGCATAGAATTACCAAATGAACATTTTTGAAGAAATCGGCATTTTCACATCTATTTTGATTTAACGCACTTCCGACTGTATTGTCAGGAAGGTAAGCATATATTACAGATGTGGTTTCTAAGGCAATCGTTTAGTAACAAACAGTCCTAAGAATTTCACCCGCAAGTGCCCATTTTGTGCCCATTTATGTTACTATCTTTATTTTCGCTTTGCTATCGTTTTGCGACAACTTTACTATACTATACAAATCAAAATTATCCGATTTGACCACGCCTAAAACGATAAATTTGCATAAATATTGTCAAAAATCATACGACAAATCTTTTCTAATTTAACTTATTAACGACCATGACGAGTAATTACCCAAACATCATATTAATTAACAATTAACACCGACTGTCTGCAGTAGACAAATCTTATTCGCAATGATTTAATGCGATTCTGACGTAATGTTTTCTATTTGGCGTTAATAGAAAATATCCTTTGTATTAAGTTTCAAGTAAAACTAAATCTGTTCAGGTGCACATGAGGATTTGCATAAAGGTCAGTAAAATTCAACCAAAAAGTTCAAACAACCGTAAATAAACAATATAAAATAAATAAAATGAAAAAAAGGTTGATCGGTTTTCAATTAGCACATGTTTAATTTAGCAACAATGCGAATGTGCTTATAACTCTTGTTCATTGACCTATCATTAAGTTCAATTAACACCGTTTGCCCTTGTTATCCGCGAGGTATTCGTTTCCATTTAGGCCAAGTTCTTGTTGAAGATGTCGTTATTGGAACGTTTTTGTATCTTGATTTCTTCAAGATAATTGCTTTGGCATCTGTATCACAATTTATATTGTATACACGAAAAATTACGTAAGCATAATGTTTATTTCAAGAGTTTTTTATCACAATGCGGCATGCGAAACGGAACGTTTATATTCATATTTTATATTTGTAAATTGGCGGTACAGTTAATAGTCTCAATACAAACGAGCTCAATGTTACTGATGATAAGATGTTCTTATTAATTTGAAAAATATGATATATGTAATTACAAATTATTAATTTGTTCGAGCGGAATTATCTTGTATTTTCGAATTTTTATACGCCAAAAATGAGGTCGCGCGATGATAAGGCGATTGTACTGGTGTCGGTAGCAATTTAAATGACTTGGTAACGTGATTCCAGCAGCCATAAAGTAAAACCTTTGAGTATCTCATTGCTTTTTCTTCTCAAATTGACATTTATGATTTAAGAGTATGTGACACAACTGTCATCATTCATGTGGAGTTTAACTTTTTTTTTTGCATGCCTCTATTTATTAATCTTTAAAGCACGCACGAGTTTAAAGGCCTTTGAAGTAGTATAAAATATAAAATAGTATTTTTTTATTATTATGCCTGCAACATAATTTAAAAATAAGGGAAATAAAACGAAATCATATTTATTTTATGCTCGAATATATTTCTAATTAAGTGGATTGATTATTCGTAATTTTATGATTGTCATGGAAATGTTATACGCAATACAGGCGGCATTTATGCACCTATTTCGGTGCAATTAGACCACTAGGCCCCATTTGCACCAAAAAATTAAGCCTTGCTTAAAGTTAAGTCGAACTTAAAATCTATGGCAACTATTATTAAATCAATCGTGTTGCTATGGTATTTAAGTTATGCTTAACTTTAAAGCGCGGTTTAGACGCTACGATAAATTGTAACAATTTATCGTAACGATCGAATCGTTACGATTTATCGTTGCGTGTGAACAGAGGATTGTAGCGATTTATTGGAATTGGAATTGGATTGGATGGTTGATGGTGGCCGGCTTCAATTTCTGCGAATCGTAGCGATAAATTGGAACGTGTAAACAATAACAGCGATTTATCGCTACGATTTGTGATTAATGTTGCCGACGTGAACCATTTTTGTATCCATTTGGGCTACTTGGACTGTCTCTAGCGCACACGTTTTACATTTGGCGAGTGGCGATCAAGTTTGGCCACCCAAAAAAAATATTTGGCGACACATGGCTAGTCAGAAATCATAATCGAGATTAAGATTCTATTGTAAGCAAGCAATGTAAGAAATAAAATGCGAGTATAATTTATATTAGTGGACAGAACCAAAAGACAAGTTGAAAAGTAAAAAAATAAAAACTGTATTAAACCGTGAAGGACAATGAGATTGGAATAAGAAACCGTTACATGTAAACAGTACGCACTCTTTCGATTTATTGAACGATAAATTGGACAATCAGATCGTTACGATTTATCGAAGCCAAGATCGTAGCGTCTAAACCGCGCTTAAGGGATACTTAATTTTGACGGTGCAATTGGCCCTTAGTTTCGTGAATTATAAACAAAAGCGTTATTAAGAGGGCGCCGCAAATAGAGGGGATACACTTATTACTTTTGCTTTATACAATTGCCGGAAGAGGCGCGCAATGACATAACAATATAAAAATATTGCTCGTGCTACTTCTGCTCGTCATTGATAGATGTCTCTAGTTACGTTCAAGCAAATTCATATGTAAGATCCGCACACGTTGATTCAAAATTTCCACTCAAAACCCTTTAGGTATTATATGCACAAAACCCTCACTGAAAGGCGAGCAGCCGATCAATTACAAATCTGTAGGTAATATTACTAATTCCGGATTTCTTGTTTGTTTAAAGCGATATCTTTGGAATCGTGGCTACACCAAATTGACACTTTTTAGTTCCTATAATTGACACACCTCGAATTTTTATTCAAAAAGCGTTCAAATTAATACCAATCGCTTCGATCCCAAAGTGTGCACCGTATCACTGTGAAGGTATTAAAGTAAATATTGTCGCTTTTTTTTACCAAAAAAATCATATGTCGTTTAACTTTGAATTTCGATTTATCGATTATTTTGTTATCGATTTGCCGACAAATTCTTTAATATCTACCTAAACCAAACCTTCCTTTTTCAAATAAAATATTCGAAAACTTTCTACACATTCGTCAAAAATTTATTCGTATGCTAAAAATTAGGATGATATTTTACTCTTTCGCCACCTATCGGCATAAACCGCAGCAGTGCGGCCGCCCAAATTGCACCCTTTACTATGTAAGCTATATTACTAATGATTTTTTACTGCCCTCCAGAGCGCTTTCTTTACAAGTTAAATATCCATTTCGTTCATTTATTACTTCTTAGGATTATAATGGACCCCGTCCAAGCATTTTTTTGTTTATACAATTGGTCACGTATTCAAGTTTTGTTAATGTGACAAGTTAATGTATAGCATCGAAATTGCGTCAAATAAATATCCTCGGTTTACGAGGTGACCCATATTAATATGCTCGTTTATTTACATAGCGTTATTTTAATTGATTAAGGACGTATCAATTTAGTACCTTATAACATTCTGGGTTTTAATTAATCTGCAAAATTTAAACAGCTAAACAGCTAACAAATGCTGTTTGATACACCTGCTATACTGTGCGATTCGTTACAGAAATGGAATCATGAGGTGGCCCGATCAGCTCAGCGATGGTCGGACGCTTGTATGCTGTTAACCCACGACAATGCAACCGGAAGATTCATTGACAACTTCGGTTCATGCGGTCAAAACATTTTTGTATCATCACATCAAGTTCCTTGGTGAGTACCTATACTATCGTGGTGGTTTTTTTGCCTACCGGTGTGACATAGCTGACCGACTGGGTTACCCTGAAATTATTTTTGCTCCAGCTTTTTTAGATACAAAATCAAAAGAAAGGGACGTTGTTGTCAGTTTTGGGAACAACGCTCCTTTTCCATTTAAAATATTTTAGGAAAGTTGAATTTTGGGTTACTGCTTGTGCAAAAATTGCGGTTAGTGAGAAGCATTCCTTATTTAAACATAAATGTCGCTGCCAAAGTCTCTTCTTCGAAAAAAGCACAATCAGTATTTACACTTGATTTGTGGCTTTTCTGTTTAAGTGGATATTTTGGAAGAGGAATATCCACATGTAAAACCATAACTCTTAGAAATAGTGTAAGTCAACAAATGAAATAGTATTATGCGCACTGTAAAAAATTGCTAAAAGACTTGTGGTAATTTTCACACAAATATACAGCTTCATATAATTTTTTTTCAAGAAGTACTTGTTCGTCATTATAAACAAAGCAGATCTAATTTAGTGCTTAACGTAAACATAACCTACGATTAAATTTAAATGTCAATTTTTACAAAATGTCACACACTTGCGATTTCGATTGCGTAAGGTTAGTGAACCTTCTAGTTCTATGGATCAATTAATTCTGTAATTAGCGTGTTGCGGCTATAAAGACGGTTAAATGTGAGCATTATACGAAGAACAAACTATTCCACATATCCCGAAAGACAACTTACCTTTGTGAAATAGTTGGCCATTTTTTTTAGGGTGACCCCTTCAAATACATTCTTACTGCACAGCATTACCAAACCAAATACAGATTAAACCCCTTATTTGGATTCAAGTGCCGCTAATGATTTTTAACCGTTTAAAAATAATTTTACTTGTTTCGGGGAATAAGGTTGAAGTCTTGCTAAGCGTCCTTGTGGTGCTGTAATTGTGTTCGGTTTGAGTTAAGGATCGGGTCAAATAGCAAATCGGACATTCACCCTCAGGGAATACATGAGTAAGCATGGCGCTTAAACCAAAAGATGAGGCTCTCCGTGTGAAGGACAAAAAGTTTGGAAAATTCAGCACATGTTAATACTGGCGTGGTAGTCAATATTTATTTCAATCAGACAAAAACTTCTTCACACTCAGGTTCCCATACAAATTTAATTTATAACGGAACAACAACAGTGGTGAAATCGGGGATTTCCTATACCAACTGTCGTATCTCCTTGACATTAGTAGGAGACTTCATTTGTAAGATGGCGTTGACTTTCCTCGGATCCGGTTCTAAACCAAACGAATTGACCCAAAATATTTCAGTTTAGCTCTTCAAAATGTTGTTTTATGGTGTCAATTTAGGGATAACAAGAATTTCATGTTCGCCCACGGTGGATAAAGCGTCAAATTTACTAGTAAGAAGAGCCTGTAAAGTGTGCTGTTGTTTGACACTCAAAAGAAGTATTTCCATTTTAGAAGAAATTGACTTTACTGATAGATCAGAAGTAAAATGCCAGCGATTATCAAAAATATTAGGTAAAATACCCATACTATCCCAGAAATCGATGCCCAATATTATTAAGTACTCGAAGTAAGTACAACCATTGACCAACGATAATCACAGTTCGATTATCGTAACATAACCCATTGAAGTGACTGTACGTTGATTAATAAAACGTAAATGTAAATGCTGTCATTGGAAAATAGGGATTCACTATAAGAACAGATCTCGACGCGCCCGAATCCAGCATATCCCAAATGTGCATTTCAGCCATAAAGTTTCAAATTATGACCTAGAGTTTAGATCAGGCATGATGAAGAGATGTCATCTTTGTAAATTGACAATCAGAGAGCTCTCGACGACTTATGAAGTCTCAGAGAGTCCGTTTCCCGAGCAAATCCCACAATTACGGACAATAACGCCACTAGCACCACACTTGTAGCAAAAAAGCTGGTGTGGTTCTGGACATTCGGTTCGATGGTGCCCTAAGCGTTGACAGTTCCAGCACCTGTGATTGTTTAATATCGACAACATTAATGGTAGGTTGGTCCGGTATCTGTCGTGGCGTAACTGAATTACTAAATCCCGGTTTAAGTAAAGGTAAATGTGATTGAGTGCTCAATGCTTCGTAGCGATTAAGATCTTGCTTACCCACAACGTATCGGCGACATTCCGTCAATAACGCGTCGATGGTCGTTGGGGCATTTGGCCCTAACTCCGATAAGTAAAAAAGAGTGAGACTTGGGCGAATGATGCGAACTTGTTCGCTTTCGACCTCCCTAAAATTTAATTCCCCATTAAATATCGGAGTTCTATGTACATACTGCAAGTTTACTTGACTCAATGGAGCAGTAGGAAGAATTTGACTGGAAGTCATAACCGATGCAAGATTTCCAGCAGATTGTGCAAGTGTATCGGAAAGCTTTCAAGTGTAGTGAATGTGAATGTCGTTCTAACACGCAAGCGTAAAGGCCCATTCGAGGTTCCCGGCGGGCCTCGATAGTTCCCGCCATTCAAATCCTTCAATTCCGAACATTTACTATTATCTCCTTTAGTGCCGAGTAGAAAAACCGAATCACGCTCAACCGAAACTTCGAGACCAAGCTTCACTATCAGTTCACCCACGCGTTTTTATCTGCGAGTCGCTTTCACCCGTCCTATTCGCGTACACCTTTCTTATGAAGCGGAGATATGTAATTCTTTACACATAAGTGAAATTCGAGAAATGTAAATTGCAAAGCGAGCTCCCGTTACAAAGTGTAGTCTATCCCCCCAGCAATGTGTTGAAAGACTTCGGTGCGTTTGGTGTTTACAGTGTTTTATATGTAATTGGTTCAATGCTTGATTCTTCAAGTGATGAGTACGCAAGGGAGCCAAATGTGAACTTGCTGGACCATCCACGGCATAGTCTTATTTCTCTTGATCTGCCAAATTAAAAAAATACACGGTCATCGTTTTTTAATCGCAAATGATGCTACCTTTGCATCCCAAAACCATTTGTCCGGTCAGATCCACTTGATTGGTTATGATTTAGATGTTTCAGCTTATAAATGAATTAAATTGAATCATTTAACTGTTTTTACATCGTGTGTGATAAAAATATTGTTCATCAAGTACAAGTACATTTTAAGTACTGAAGGTGACTATTGTTCTCAGAATGACAAGTTTCACACATGTGACACCTTTGTTGGAAATTGCTACTAGGTTGCATGGTACCTCTAGAGATACATTTTTATATTTAAGGCATTAAAAGAAGATACACGGAAATAGGCTCCAGTTGCCCTTGTTTATTAAGCACTAGCAGACTGAGCGAACTTTGTACCGCCTATCAGACAATGTCACGCTCCCGGAAGGGACAGAAGCTCGATTTCGGCGGCTGCGCCGTCTCACCTCTCACAGTTTACTAATTCAGTAACTTTCGTGGCCATACGGATGGATGAACGGTTTAGGCAAGCATTAGGTACAAACATACATTTTTATTTATATAGATAAATTACAGATTTATTTGATTTATTGCATGATTGTGTATCAATTTAATTGGCAAACAATAACTACGTCATAATAGGAGTGTGACATTTACGATTTGTTATGGTTGATACAAACACATTATCACTAACAGTACCAGGATAATGGTATAATAAACATTGTCAAACAATGTAATTTATGATCGTGATAAAAAAAACAGTTTAACAACTCGCATGATAATTTTAACTGGAAATTTAAATAGCTATTACCTCAAATCTGTATTTGTATATGATATGTTCTTACGGGATTGAAATCCTTCACGATATAACTAAAATTTGAGGCAGTCAACACTATGATGCAGTCAACACTATGATGCAACGCTGCTGCAGATAACCCCCCCCCCCCCCCATTACCCGTACTACTCCTGTATTTACCTTACCTTAATTAGGAAAACTGCAGAAAAACCTAATTCGGAGAAGACGGGAGAATGCTCAATGCTGATCTAAAGAAATTCCTATATTCTGTCCCAGATTAAAAATTCTTAATTCAGCGCAGGCTCGAACACTCGACCTTCCGGATATGTAGTCCAACGCTCTACCACTGCAACACATATACGGATATTTAAATAACATCTTCTATAATTATGAGAAATCCGAATGCCAATATAATTGGAAATAGTTATTAATAATTGATATAAAATAGGCAGTATTCCCTCATTTATTGTTTAGTTAATGTACTTAGTAGTAACAGTCTGTATATTAAATAATAAGATTTATCAAGTTGTTTTAAGGCAGTCGTCGCGCGTAAATGTTATCTTTTTTGTTCGTTTCTTGCGTTCCCGCTCGCTAGCTTTGCGCATCGAGTGAAATTCTCTCAAGAAATAAGTGGGGGGAACTAGAGAACAAAGATTTTAGAGGGCACTGCTAAGAATTGTTTTAAATTTCACTCTCAAGAAATTGAAAATGAAATCTCGACTGTCTCTTCAAATTCCCATATTGATGAGGGAAAGCAGAAGCGAGGGATTAGAAGAAAGGATGTAGGAGAGACAAGAGATGGAGGAATTGGAAGGACGAGAAGGATCCAGGAAAGTAGGAGGAGATACCACAGGTAAGGGTGGGGAAGGGAGGGTGAACGAAAATGCAGCAAATGAGGAGTAAACAGATGCGGAGAAGGGTTAAGAGTAGGGTGGAGGTTCGGCAAGGTTAGAAAGAAAAGTAGAATGAGAATGGAAACCTAGCGTTACGCAATTTATTGATCATAGCGGACTGTAAATGGTATACAGGTAGAGGCAAAGAGAAACGGGGGGAAAGACGGAAGATTAGGAGAAACAAGCCACAAGTGAGAAAGATGTGCTTTGAAGTGGACTTTCTGGAATTTACGAATTCAAAATGATGAAGAATGAACAAGGAAGATGAGGAGAAGCAGAAGCATAAAGCAAAGAGTAGCAGAATGAAACGAATTCGTGAGGCTGAGAAGGTAGGAGGAAAACAAAAGGAAGAGATAAGGAGTAGGTAATAGAGAATAATCCGCAAAACAAAGTGAGGGAGAGGATCAAGAAAAGAGAGAAAGAGTAAAAAATCAGTACTAAATGGGGGAGGATGCGGAGGAATTGACATGAGGCAAAGTTTGTAGGGTGAAAAAGAACGAAAAGAAGTACAGGTGGAGGTACATGTTGGGGGGCGGGAATGGAGAGAAAATAGGAAGAGTACAAGCTGAAGAAGGATAATGGAAGGAAGAAATAAGACGGTGCGAAAGTAAAAAAATTCGTTAAGCCACTTGTGAGAATTTGTTTTTTCGATTTTAATAGCCCTTATGGACATTTCATGCCTTAACGAGAATACAAACAGGAAATAATTTTTAATTTCTGATCGAATGACACTCATACCAAATCTGTAGGTGGTGTAGTTCCGGAGCCCCTGTGACTTTGTGACTCAGACAGACAGACAGACACCAAGAACGCAAAAGTGTATTTTTTATTTTTTGAAAGTGAAAGTGCACTAAAAAAGTGTTAAAGAGAAGGAAAATTGGGGAGGGGGGAGGCTAAGAAAGGAAGAAGGTTCAAAGGAAGATATAAGGAAAGTTACAACACGCGGAGAGGGTGGAGTTGGAGAAGACGGAGTAGGAAAGTTTAAAAAGTGGAAAAGAAAGAAGAAGAGAAGCAAGGGAAGTATAAACGAGAAAGCGTAGGGGCAGGGAAAAAGGAGTAGGAAAAGTTAGATGAAGTGCTGGTGAAACTGAAGCGGGAGCAGAAGGGATAAAGGAGCGAAAGAAACTGGAAGAAAAGGGGAGTAGAATGTGGAAGAAAATCACGAGGAAGTGAAAGGAGGGAGCAACGAAAAGGAGCAACGATAAAGGAGAAGGAGAAGAAAGAAAACAGCAATTCTAAATGATGGAGAAGAATAGGGGTTGAGTTGAAGAAGTAGAGAAAGAAACAAAGCCGGTGATTTCGTGGAGAGGCAGAGAACGGAGGAAGCCGAGTAAAAACTGGAGGTGTCGAGAAGGAACAAAAAAAGTTGAAAGAAGAGTAAAAAAGGAAAAGATACGCCCCCGTATCAAGGATGAAGAACACTAGAAAGAAGAATAGAACGGGAACAGCGAACAATATTATGAAAGAAGATAGGATGCAACAAGAAGGGGAAATAATTAAAAAGTAGAAAAAGGCAAAGAAAGGGTCTTCAACGCTGCGCTTGCCGTTGTTTAGTCGCATTGTACGACACGCAGTGCCCTCTGCGGTAGGGTTATTTTACTACCCGTCTCTACACAGAGAAGTACTCGTGTATATAGAATACTACGCTACCAAAATATTCATAAAATCTAATGAAAATTCAAAAAATAAAAAAATACGCTAGCGGGTTTCCGTTACACAACATCATATTAGAATTCCTTTAAAAATGTGCTTTCTTGTAAAGAATTCATAACTCAAAATTTGAGATTTCATTAAAATGCATATGTTCCTCCAAATATTCAAGCATAGGCAAACCATAATATAAGCTTCTGGTAAGACGTGCTGCAATGTTTGTAGCATAACACATGGGAATAAACAAGATTAGATTGTCTATATTCATTTATTATTAACAGCAGGCATGAAGCGATATGTTTGTTTTATTATACCTCATTGTCTTCTTAGTTGTATCATGAGATTTTTTACAAAGTCGGTCAACTAAATCAAAATAATGCAATGATTAACATGGATTGGTTTATGAACGGAAAATGTACAAACTAATAGAAGTTAAAGTACAGTTCTCTTCAGCAAACAACCACAATTTGTTTATATTTATTTCAATTACAACGATATATATTTTCCAGGTTATTTGCCATAAAAACGTGGTGGTTAGAAAAAGACAATTTCACATTTGGTGGCGACAATAACGACCTATACGTGATAGGTCACTACACTCAATTGGTATGGGCAACAAGCCATCAGGTTGGATGCGGTTTTACCAAGTGCGATAGAGTGGGTAACAATAAAGGAAGAGGCTATTACAGTTACGTGTGCAATTATTGCCCCATGTAAGTACAAACAGAGATTAGATCTTTCAGGTGTAAATAAAGAAAATCGCATAACAAAGGTGAAAAAAATATGTGTGGCGTGCGTGAAAGATTCAGGCAATAATTTCACTTTCTTACCGCAATTGTGTTACTATTTCTTTATCGACGGGAAGTATGGGTAAATGAAGCATGAGTGGACAAAAAAGAGCATGCATTAATGAGTTCCGCTCTCATTGTTTGGCATTATGTTTCTGATTAGTTAATTTGATTAATTAAAATTTAGCTTGTCTGTCGTGTAATCCACCTTAAGACTGTCTAATTGGCGTATTGTTTCAGAGGTAATCACCCCGAAAGGCTAGGTACCCCTTACAGAAGAGGCAGACCGTGCGGAATGTGTCGCCGCAAATGTCACGCCAAAAAACTATGCACGAACGCATGTCCCGTTGCCGATTATTGGGCAAACTGTCGAGAGTTACACGCGGTTTGGCCGAACTGGTTGTGCGATCGGAGCACCGAGAGAGGCGAAGAAAGGACCGAGTACTGTCAAGCAACTTGTAAATGTAGGGGTACCATTCGACAATAACATAAGTGTTTTTGATGTATAGCTTATTTTTAAATTGTATTCCTGCCCTGTGTAATTAATGCAAATGATATGAGGAAATAATTTGTAGTATAACTTGTAGCACTTAGTAGTCTCATTGTAGTGTACTAATCTGCCAAATTCGTTTGGTTTACTTAATGTTTTGTATGTTTTGTCAGTGAAAGCAAAATAATTATTATGCAACTTTGTAATCTTCGTGAAAATAAGATATATTTTTGGCCTAGGCTGTGTTTATCGTTACGAAAAGGTGTAAGGTGTAAAAAGAGTCACCAGTTTAGTTAGAGATATGACCAGAGCGGGATTCATCCTCTCCAGCGCCTTGAGGCACGACTCACCGATTGCGTATCCTCTTCTCCCCTCCAGATATACTAAGGGTTGAATGCAAGGAATCTGCAAAATGTGTTCCGTTCTTGTCCAATTCAAGGTAAGTCTAGCAACACGAAAACAAAATTAAAATACAAACTAGGGCGCCTTCCTTTCATGTTGGCAATATCATCATTAATTCCATCGAATAGATTATTTTATTTAATTTGTGACTTATAACGTTTGAATCACAAATAAAGCAGACGATGCATTTGACCGTATTTATTGATTTGATGGTATAATTCAGGTAACGTATCGATTTTGATTTAGATGAGATATTTAAATTTACGCTTTATCTGAGTATAACATGCCCAATTTTTCTTGTCATAAATTTACCCAAATGAAGTTTTGCATATACCAGTACCACATTATTTATTTACCACATAATTCATAACAGTATTCAGTGGAAATATGGAAAAACACGGATTTACTATCGTCGTTTTATCTTCAAAGACTTTAAACCTTAAAATTAACTATTTCCAGTGTTACTAAAAATTAAGAAACACCATAATTTAATTGTCTGTAACATTGACCAGCTCTCATTGAAATTTCGTGGCTCTATGTTAAACGGATTCGGAGTAAAAAAAATAAATAGTGGAGCCGCGCAAGGATTTTCCATAAGCCGTAATGTATTTAATGTTAATTTTATTTTTTTTATACACGTTTTTATGTCTTATAATGATGGTGGTGATGGCGATGACAGTGTTTCAAGGATTTGTTCTCTACGTGAGTGTGAGTCACTACTTGTGTTCCCTTGTTCAGAGAATAAGGAATTGCACACTGTACACCAAACTCTTCATGACTGTATACTTTAGACGGTATGTTCGTATATAAAGGTGCCGCACACAACTGCTTATGATATAGTTCTTGTTCCAAATTGCGATATCTGGAATTTGTGTCGTTCATTTTCTGCTTTAAATCTCCGTTTAGTGCAATCACATTGTTTAAGTTTGCAGTTGCAGTTCTCAGTTGGTCATTTAAGAAACGCATGTTTTGAACGAGAGAAAGTTTTCTTTGAATGTTCGTTATAGTGCCGGTTATTTCCTGTTCTCTTTTGCTTGGTGAGCCACACGTAACATTTTTACTTGCCTTGCGAAGCTGTGTACAGAACTGGGTGTTGTCCTGCGATAACTCATTTGTAATTAGACTAGCTTCTGCACTATTGATAGGATTATCAGCAGCTATTGTGGCTTCAAGGAAGTTTTTGAAGAAATCATCATCGGCAAGTTGACTTTCATTTTCCATGACTGATTTAAATACCAATTCCAAATATTTGAGGCTGCCTAAGTCCATGTTGCTGTTCAAGATTTGTGATCATTTTTAACTTGTTTGTTTTTGTAAAGCCCCTATAAAAAATATTGTGCGGTACTATTTAGTTTGGCATTGTTAGTTTGACGTTTGAGTGACATATGTCCATTTGTAGAATTTTTGTTTCTATTTAATTCTTCTTGTTCGATGATATACTGTAGAGCCTTCAAGGTCTAGCAGAGGAAGATTTTTGCCCCCCCCCCCCTCTAGCACAGTTAGTGTGCTGCAGGCGTGCTCTCAATCTTTGACTATTTCATCATCTCCACGTTATACAAAAAGGACCGATTTTAAGCTATTCAGGTCCACATCACAAATGTGCTTGATAATCGTCTATTGCGCAAGTCCTAATGCAGCCAATGAAATCCTAGGGAGGCCTGATCTCGAGTCGCGAGAAGACAGGCAGTGTGCTATCCCAATAGACTTAAGGAATGACCCCTTTCCAAAATATACATACATGAGTAAAAAGCTACTGGGACATTACTGAGCAGCATATTGATTGTACGACCATTCAGATGAGCAAAATGTAAAAACTACACCTTCACCTTCCCCATTCTAAAAGGTGATTCTATAATTTTGTTAAGTAGTCAACTATGCTGTAAACGTTGGAAAGGACCTGATGGCAAAGACAATGGTAAAAACCTTGAAAATCTTAAGTTGCTGTTTCATTTTGTTGAATGTTTAGTGTATTTTAATAACTGAAATGGCAGTTCGTGTCGTAAAGTGGATCTTTAGTAGTCAAAATCGACGAAAACAAAAAAAAGCTGTGTCTCAAGAGTTATTTATCTGACCAAGACCAAATTGGTGTTATTTTGTTGTAAATTTAATCATTTAAAAAGTAACTTTTGCCGTAACACAGTTTGCACAATTATCATCGCTACTATATCAAAGTAACAAGAAAAAGTCATATCTGGAACATATTTAATAATAACTCATAGTATACTGTACCTACTATAAGCTTTGCACGAGTGTGGTGGTTGGGTGACACCAGTCGTAGGCGAGTGCTATAAAAGTAATGCAAGTACGAAGAGTGCTGTAACAGGTGACCGATTTGCCGTTTCAAAAGTTTGTTTTGAATTTTGTTCAACATACTAAAATCTACACATATACCGCTTCATAGCAAATGTGAACGAAAGTACGCCTGGAAATAAAAGTGATAACAGGTGCATTTTCGATAAAGGTGTGCATTTTCGAGACCGTAAGGGAGTCTTAAGCAGAGGAGATTAGACTTGCAAAGGGTGAGCACGTATTATTTGTGTTTATCTAGTAACGATAATGTTTTATCATCTTTATTTTGAGTGAAAAAATTCTAAGAACGTTGTTGCTATTTTTCATCGCGTCTTTAAAAAGGGGAAATTGAAGATTCAAGGTTAGTTTCATGTTAAACGACATTAGCCTAATTCGTAGCGAAATCATTTATTTTCGAGTGATAAAAACGATTCCGAGAGTGGGAGCGCTTTTAGCGAGTAAGTAAACTTACATTCAAACTCACTGCCATAAACAAACGTTTTTTTTGGATCGCCTTAGGCGATAAATGAAATGTTGACATACGGCAGGAAATTTAAAGACAATTAATTGGTCCATTTTCTGCATCAAAACCTAGTTAATAGTAAATTGGGCAAAATTGATATCAACACAGCGGATCATTGGCATTTTATTCCTATGCATAACCACGATCTGTGGTATTAGTTGCGAGAATTTAAAGCCGGATTGGTTGTATTCGCGATTCACACAGCTTTTCTTCCCCCAAACTTTGCATTTATCATCAAGATAACGTTACCAGGTTGCTACAAAAAGTAAAATGTACTGTGTCGAAGCGATCTGTTTTCATATTTATAAAGGAAGCGTAATACTCCTAGGTGGAATAAAATGAATTTGTTACCAGAAGAGAACCCACATCAATATCTGTGAGTTATTTTCAATTTATTTATTTGTATAAAATAGTGGTCGATTATTTTTAGGAACTTGTATATTATTAAATTTGCTTAAAGTAATTTTAATATTCCTATACGAATTGACTCGTGAACATTATTTGCACTATAAGAGTCGAATTTGATTGATTGGAATTTTGCAGTTTCAGTGATACCATTCCTTTGGTTGGAGTAAAATTTTGTTTAGCATTCAGATATTTTGAACAGGAGAATGTACTAGTAATTTATTGCGGTAAAAATGAATTTTAGATAAGGATCAAATTTAGCACTGACACTAATCACGAGGTAGGCATTGCATTTTTTGTATTTCTTTTTATGAACTAAACTAAAATTTTAAGACCAACAAATTCAAGAAAAGTGAATACATAAATAAAATAAATCCCAGGAAATGGAATGTGATCGCTTTTGCTTTAATATATTCAATGAATGAGTATTTATTCGAGTTCAATCAAACCAGAGCATTAGATTTTGAATTCAAGATTTTAAGAGCAGATAAAGGGACCGAACCTTGGCATAAGGACATTTTTTATTACTGATTTAGCAAAATCGGGAAGGGCATACTCGAAAACCTATTCAAAGACGTGCCCCCCACCAGTCTTCCTAACTCTTATGGTTGCTTAGAAAAAAATTAAAGAAGAAATGCAAATTTTACCACTTTTCTGGAGATGGCTGCCAAAAGAAACACGTTGGGCCCTCGGTTTATTTGGAAAAAGTGCTTGTTTTGATTCCCTCCACCACCCTAATTTTTTTTTACATACTTACATGTATTTTATATCTATTTTTTGAAGTGTTAATATCACAGCAGTTATTCCAATAAGCGAATTTCTTCCGTTTAAATCCGTTAGGGTCGAAGTATATTCCTGAACGCAAATCTTTCTTCTTGGAGCTAGTTCCTGGCGAAGGAGCATTCCAGTGGGAGCGTATTCTATGACATTTTCGGTCGGGACTATCCAGGGCTAATATTCTAAAGGCGAATCATCCGGGGGCGAATTTTCAGAGGCGAATCTCTTTAATTTGGTGCAGTATTCAACTGTGCAACAAAAAATTGGGATCTAAGTAGTAATTATACCGCTCAAAAAGCGCACATTCGCAAATTAGCCCACAATTTTGATTCGTAATGCTAACAATAAAGGTTTATGGTACGGAAAGCGAGAGTGTGAATGATAGAAAAGGCAAATGTTGCGAAACAGACACCGTAAATGGGGACCATCATGTTTATTCGCTTCCTACCAATAACAATTAAACCAAATATCCTCTTACCTCCAAGTGCATCAACCTTTTACAACATAATTAATGGTAATGAAGTATTAAGCGAAGAAAATGAAAGAAACAAATGTAGAGAAAGCTTACTAATTACAAAAAATTTATAACCGTAACGTACCTTTTTACCGATTACAATGCAGCTATCAGTCTTGAATTTTTGTTATTTCGAAATATGTCGTGTCATTGCTAGTAACAATCGAAATCAATTTGTCTTTTATTGTGCATTAGGTCGATTCGTATCGGTGATTGTGCTCGTTACTGTTTAATTGCAATATTGTTGCTGTATAATAATAGATGACATTTATGCAATTTCGCTATTATTGTGTTTTCTACTTTCCTCGGTGTCTTCAATTATACCTAA